CAAGACTCTAGAATTATAACTTAAAGGCAGGGAACGTCTCTATATTAGTTATATACAGGCGGTTAAATACAGTCTAACTCTTAGCTATCTTATTTCTAGTAATAAAGTAGGTTTAAAGGAGGGTGATTATTTCCTTAGCTTTTTAGAACTAAAGGCTTAGGGAATTAGATAGGTAACGTGGCTCTAAGTATTCTCTTGCTAGTCCTAAGCAGTGTCCCTAGACTAACGCTATCCAAGCTCTAGAAGAGGGGTAGTAATTAGCGTTAATCTCTAGCCTATCCTAAATAGATGCTTGCTATTATCTAAAAGTAGGATTAGCACTATTACTAAGTATAGAGATATTTAGCGTCTTTTTAGATTATCTTTTAGCTTTTATAGTATATACTATAGGGTTTAATATAGAAGCTAAAGACTAGCTAGGTTAGGTAGTACCCTATATCTCCTTATAGAGGGAGGTGTTATATAACTAATTAGTAAGTTGCTTAACTTATTCCTCTAACCTCTCCTTTTTAGATAGGGTTAATATATATTTATCTTTAAGGGAGGTGTTACTTTAAGATTTCCTAGGAGCACAAGGTACCTTAAGAGATAGATAGGAAGCAGGTCCTTTAAGGAGGGCGTTGTTAATTAAGTCTTCCTTATCTAATTTCTTTCTATTAGTGAATAGGCTTTTAAAAGTAGCTAAACTAGAGGCCCTTTCTTTGCCCTTGTCTAATATTTTAGAGTTAATAAGAACAACAAATCTTTTCTTTTCTTTTAGGGGGTTTGGTTATAGGAGGATATTAGCTTTGCCTCTAATTCCTCTAGGCTTTTGGTAGTCTCTAGGTCTCTACCTTGACGCAATCTAACGCAATTTTTCTAAAGGTAATCTAGCACTACCTATAGGTCTAGAGGTCTAAGCCTATAGGCTTTAGTTGTTAGAAGTTCTAATAGCTATTCTAACTATAGAGTTACAGGGTTAGGTAGCTACTAGAACTAAATTAGTAGCTTAAAATAACAACAAGTGCGATATTCTTAAATGCTATTACTAGCTAGGATAATATTCTTCTTATAATATAACAACTTAGGTAGGTAAGGCATCTAAAAGGTATCCTATATAACTTAAAGGCATATAGGAGTGCGCGTCTGTATAGAAAAGGATAAGATTCCTACACCTATAGGTCTTGTACAAAAGGACAAGAAGAACATGCCTATCCTAACCATAGGCGAGCTGTTCTCTATATACATCAGTGAGTCGGGCCTTTATCGGGCCTGACTCGGCATGGAACAATAGGCAGGCAATTCTGCCTTATTGTTACAGTAAGCCCTCTACGCCTTTTTATAGGTGTGTTGCGTGTTTACTTAGTAGTAGTGTTAGACTCTGTCTATCTTGTATTAGGCCTAGGCTTAGGCATAAGCCCAAGCCCTTCACAAATAGAAAGAAGATAAGTAAGAGGGTACGTGCTAATAAAGGTAAGGCAGGCTAAAGACGCTATAAAGAGTGCTATAAGGTAGGATATAACTTATATATATAGGAGAATAAAGCAGAAGTAGCTATAGAAGAGTAATTAATATAGTTTTATCCTATATAGAGCTAGAGTGTGCTATAATAGTCTATAGAGAGTTGTAGTTTTAGTGGGGTCTTGGTAGAGTGTCCAACTCACCCGTGTGTCCGACTCACCTGTGGGGTACGTTAGGCGGGGTGCTGCCTATATACCTATAGGATTTAGGCTTAAGGTAGGTTTAGGTTAGGGTTTTAGCCCTAGGAACCGACCTAGATAGTTACTCGTGGTGACTATGAATAGCTGAGTCTTTACACGCGAGCTGTATTTCCGCTGAGGGGTTCTTTGTCCTAACCCTGCCGCTTCATGTTCTTATAACCACACAGCGTCTCTCAAGGTTCGTAACATTGAATCTAATCCCGTGTACCGTGCGAGGCCGTGCATGTTGCTTCAGCACAGGCACAAAAAGGAAACGCACGGTGGAGAGGGGTAAGTGGGCGAGTGAGGTGAGTTGGCGTTTTCCGATATTTCTAGGCGCAGGGGGGGTTTGGTCGGGTAAGAGAATGGCGGTGGGCAGTAGGGTGTTAGGATGGCGGTGGTATAGGTGGAAATGTAGGGCATGTGTATATGTTGAGTGTGGAGGTGGCTGGTCAGCTGGCTGGAGGGAAGGACTGTGGGGTTTACTATGTATGAAGACATGCACACAAGTTGAATAGTGGAGTGCTTGCGCACACCATTTCTCTCTTGTCCGCTGCCAAAACTTGTCCGTGTGGGAAACTAGGGACGGTGTACGGCCAACGCGGGGCTTGCATGATGGTACCGCATGTGAGTGTGCTGTAACTAAGGACACAGGCAGGCGCGGCGAGTTTTGTCTTATTGCGCTTGCTTGTGTATTTGCGAGGCGTGAGGTGGGAGAGAGGAGGTAGTTTACTTTACTGTCTGTCTGTCGTGTCGTGGATTCAGTTGTTGATGCAGCATGCTCTCCCTAGTAGTGTTACTACCGCTCTTTAGAGTATACCGTTAGTTATGCATAGCCCCCACCAACCTGTCTTCCCTCCATCCTATTTCTCTTCTATTCCTCATCTAGCCAAAATCCCCCATAATTAACTCTACAACTTAGAAGTAATTTCTCTTCTCCGCCGCCCCATCTACCGTAAGCGCCCAAACCCCACCTAGTCCCAAAACAGCTTTGCCCCTCCCCCCCACCACGCCGCACATAGCGCCGCCACCCCCCAGTCTCCGACTACACAAGCGTCCCTATCCCTGTCCCAGTGCGCCTATTGGCTGTACGCGTGAGACAGACAGCGGGTAGGATAAACCGTAGTCGAGAGCTGGGATGGAGCTTGTGGTGCGTTGTGGGTGGGCGAGGTTTGGTAGCTTTGTTTGGTGCTGTGTGTAGGTAGATGTGGTGTGTAGGTGTTGATGGTGTGGGTTTATTGAGTACTGGTATTGGGTTTTCCAAGATGCACGTACGGTTTTGGGTGAGGATGTTGTGGTGGTGTGAATCAGTGTTTGTATGGTGTGTTGGATACAACATGTCCCATCCCATCCATCTCTAAACAAAGATTAAAAACTAGCCAAGCCCAAACCCAAGCTATGTAAACCCACATGGATACCCAAAAAAAAGTAAGGAAAGACAAAATGCCATCTCCCCCGTCACAATTGTCCAGCCCAATTCATTCACCTACCACCCTCCAACAGACAACACAGTGCAATACAACACACACACCTACACACACCTTACCACCACCACAAGCCACCCCTCCCTCAAAGCCCCTCTCGCTCGCTCACACACATACACTATGCGCCCCATTGGCCCTCCCATTGCACCATGGGTTTTTTGCCCGCATGCGGGAAGGATGGGTGGGTGAGTGGGCCGCACGTTTTTTTCCCTCGGTCGTCGAGGATGACTTTCGTTTGCTGGATGGCTGAATTTGTGCGTGCGTATATGCGTGGGTATGTGGGTCTGCTGTCTTGTTGTTGTGGGTGGGCACGGGAGGGTTATTTGGTTGTTGACGTTGATATTGATGTTGTATGCTCATTGTTGGGAAGGAGAAAGGTCACTTTCATCTTCATGTTCATATCAACATCCATATCCACATTTGTGCCAGCGACACGGGCAGAACACATGTACGGAGTTGTTACTAGATTTACACTGCATGTACGTATACTCTCTGCGCTCCAACCCATGAAACCATAATCAGGAATGAAGTGGTGAGCAAAATGCCCCCCAACCACTCACATCATGGCCCGTGACCAGGGTAGGTTAAGATAGGCAGCCAGGCAAGGCAAGCTTCTTTATTTTTGCCGCCCAGCCAACCCCATCCCATCTCCTGCAAGATCTAGCCGCCCAGCACACGCACAACCCCTCCCCTCCACAACACGTGGACAACTCTAGCCCTCTCCCCTCTGAGTTGCAAGATTTCTCGCCCGCCAAAAAGAAACACCTCAAAGGAGGAACAAGCCAAAAAAAAATTCAAAAATCGGGAACGTGATCTGCACATCACATTTTTCTTCCCCTTTCAAAATCAACCGCGTAGAAAAACAACAAGCCCCTGGTTTAAACTCACCGCCAGTGTATATAGAGAGGTATCCGCGTTAGAAATAGGTTAAAGCTCCCCCCGCAACGCCTGAATAAAGTTTTCTGCGCCGTGAAAGAGGTGTAGTGAGTGGGAACGACGGTGTGGCCGTAATACGTCGTTCCTTCTGGTTTCAATCAAGAAAGATGAAACAAAAAATTGGGTAAAACAAAGAAAATGGGGGGGGGGGGATTGGTAGAGGCTCGAAATAGAAACACAAGTGCAATTAGCAACTAGGTATCGTAGGAATGAAGGTAGATGCTGTGTATGTCTGTCTTAAGTCTGTATTGTATGCATCCATGTGCCAGTCGAGCATAAAAAGACTTGTCTTGATCTCGTGGGTGCACCAAGTCCACTTTATGTCTCGCCCGCAGCCCTGCAGCCGCTGTGTACATGTCTGATGTCTCTCTCTATCCTGGTTCGACATGTCGCGCGCTTCCACCTGATACTGAATTCCCCAGTTCCCACGTACCACTCACCTTGGCCTGCTTCGTCGTAGAGCGCGCGCCTTGGTGACGCCACCGCGTTGTCCATGTCAAGACAGTACCCGTGTGACAGCGGGCTGCTCAAGTCATCGCAACAGGCCCAAATACACCCAAACCCTTTCTTCTTCCAAAACGCCCTTTGAACAGCGCTTACACACCACGCTTTGCTTGCCCTTCAGTCTACAATCTGTTCCCGCCCGCCTACATGAGAGGCAACCCACATGTTTGAGACCCGAGATACTCTGAGCATCCCATTCGTTTCCACGGCTGTGTGCTACTTTTTCTGTCCCTTTGACATGATGCTACGCGCAAATGCTAGTAGTAGCTATCTACATACTTACATAGTCGCATACACGTGCTTGGCACGTCCTCCTGCAAGACCCCAGCTCCACACCCCGAATCGGCCTGTGCCGCAACATGACATCGGAACGTGTGAGCTGGCCTCTACATGGCCTCTACATGGCCTTCAGCCCATGAGGCCATGCAGAGGAACGGTCCCGATCGAACTCATCGTCCCGGAAAGGGCGCACCGCATCCCCAACCATAATGGTGGGATTTTGCCCCAGTGGCGTAGCCACGTCTTCCAGCTGGACATGGCATGTATGCTCGCCAAAGTACACCCGCCCGTCAAATCGGCGCGTCTTGGACAGTGTCACAAACGGCTCCTCGTCCTTCTCCGCCGTCTGTTGATCAATGCATACCATCTGACATCTTCTACACCCACCCAGCATCTCAAAGTATTGGTGACCAATCTGTAGGAAGCGCCACCCGTCCTCCGCATACGGCTCCTCAAGCCCAGGCGGGTACTCTGCCTTCTCCGCAACCACAATGTTGGCTCGGAAGACTTCTGCCTGCGCTGCCTTGCCGCCCTCTGCCTTGATCATTTCGTTCAGGCGGTTGAGGCTTGATCGCGAGATGGTGAGAATCGGACTCTCATTGGATAGTAGGATTGGTTTTGAAACGCACGCGCCCGGCCCAAGGGCCATCGCATCTGGGAAAGCGCCGGGTATGCGCAGGGCGCCACCATTTCCATGCTTTTGGAGATGCGCCTTGGAATGTCTTAGTGAGCCACTTCCGCTGCTCACAGCTGGGAAGCGGGCAAGGTGGCAGGCCACTCCCAGAGCTTGCGTGAAGAAAGAAGAAATCTCGTTGCATCGATACGTCCTCGCCTGCACAGACTCTCCACAAACTTTCGCATTCGCAATTTTGTAGACGTCTCCATCTGCAAACATGCGTGGGTCGACCGAGAGAGGCACAGTGATTTCCTCCATGCTAGTTGAGCCCTGTAGCGCACCAGCAACACCCACACGCAGTACACCTTTCTCAAGGTCAACACTCGGCCGTATGAGAGCCATTCTCGGGTAGCGCTTCTGGCTCAATGCCGCGCCTGTGCCTTGATGCACAAGACACCACTCACGGTCCCACGCAAGTCCTTCGGGCCGTACTGTCCACGCACTACCAGGCGGCACGCTGAAGCCAGCACAGCTCTTGATAGGGTATATAGTCAGGCTCTCCACCTGTAAGCGGCTTCGTGTTGGTGGCTCGTAGATAGCAGCGCTCATTGGTAACGTGGGTGGTGGTGATGGTGGTGGGCTGCCTTGAACGAAAAATTCACGTATGAATTCGATGCAAGAGTGTACATCTTCCAGCACACTCATGGCTCCAAAGCTGACGCGTATCATGCCCGTCGGCTTTGCTCGTATGATATCGTTGTCATTGCCACAACGTTGCCCAGCAGAGAAGTTCTTCTTCATCTCCCAAGGTGCCAATCCAAGAGAACTCGCAACCCCACCTGGGTTGCAGAGCCCACCAGTCCTTAGTTGTATGTTCTTAATAGCGGCCAATTTCTCTACTTCTGCATTGCTGACCCAGCCGCCACATTCGTTGCGGAGATTGAAGGCAATAATAGGACCCTGGGTCGTTGCGTCTTCGTAAGTGGAGGTCATGTCTCGATATACATGGCATACATCTTTGCCATTTCCGTGCCGTAACGAGGAGAGTCCTTCGTGCAGTTTCTTCGCAAGATACATTGTATGCCTGGAAATCTTGTCCAAGGAAGTGTACACCTCTCGATGAATCGCCATGGCATTGTCAAGCGCGATGATGCTGTGGATCGGCAGGGTACCATCTTCCAAGCTCTCGTGTAGCGAGTCGGCCTTCTTCGCATGCCACTGTTCCTTTAGGCACACCACCATCTCAACTGTGCCGCCACCAAAATAGCGGCGTCGATCGAAAATCGATGCCGACGCCTGCCTAACAACGAGAGCACCAAGGTCGGGGAAGCCGAATATCTTGTAGAGGCTCAATACAGTAAAGTCGGGGGCCGTGTCAGGGTTCCCGAGGTCGAGTGGTGAGGTTGATACAAGAGCTGCCGCATCCAACAAGGTGTAGACATTTTTTGGCTTGTTCTTCCGAACACGGTGCGTCCAATCTAAAGGGAGGCGACGCCCGTTCATGTTGGACTGGGCCGGATAGGCGAATAGCTTCGGCCTGCCAACCCCTTTGTCTTGTTGCTCGATCCAGTCATTGACCTCCGTATCTGACGCGAAGCATTGATGTTCAGTCGCCGCCTCGCGCAAGCCTATCAAACTGGTGTGTGCGTCTCGGTGGTAGCCATACCAGAATCCTTCCTTCTGGTCCCTGAATGCTTCCAACACTAGCTTTATACCGGCAGTTGTATTGGCGACGAACACAACATCGAACTTCTGAGGATCGGCATTGAACAACTGCAAGACCTTCAGTCGAACATCTTCGATGCGGCGCGTCGTCAGTTGGGAGGCGTTGGACGCGGAATGCGGGTTGCCATAGAGGTTAGACATCATGTCGGCAGAAAAGCGCTCAATCAGTGACTTCGCGTAGAGCGTAGTTCCCGCATGGTCAAGATAGGTTGTGCCTAGGTATGATCAGTAGGTGGGCTGGCCTTGCGTGGAAAGACTACCTTCAAGCATGGGGTATTCCTTTGCGCGCATCGTCGCAATCGCCTCATTGTACGCAATCTCGGCTGAACTATCCATGCTGGATTTCCAGACAATGCTGCGTCTCGTCACCCGTAGTCACCCAAGAAAGAATAGAGGCAAAAAGCACAGTAATAAAACCCCATTGGATTGCGAGAGTGGTGTCTCCCGTAAGTGGGGGCCGGCAAATGGTTGCAGTCGCAGTATGATGCGGGCGGTCCCGATCGTCGCCAAGACTTCTGATGGGCAGACCACCAATGCTTATTTCTCCACTTGAACCTTTACTTGATTGCAAGGTACCTATGTTCTTGAGCAAGATCACGATACCAAAAATTGAACAGATGCTTGCATTTCATTCCATTCATCTCCACTATGCAAACTTGTTCAATACTCCACCTTCCTCCAGAGCGCTGGACAACTACCATGAGACCAGTTGAGCTGATATAACGTGATCTTCTTCAGAGTCCCTTATCCTTACTGTTTCATCCAAAGAAAAAAAGGTTCCGACGCTGTAGAGCTTTGACCTATGTGGTCTACTTCGCCAGGTCCGTAGCCAATTTAGTGTCCAGATTGAGTCCAAGTATGCTCCCGCTCATCCAGGAAGCCATGACAGCGACCCTCCTTGTCCACATGTCTACCTGGGCCATCTTCGTTCCCTCAGTTGGATGTCTGTATTTCCAGAACTTGATCTCGCGACTGAAAGAGACTGTTAGCTGCGATATATCAAACTTGGCCTGTGGTACTTGCATTTCATTCCAATGTGAGCTGTGTGAGCAAAAAAAGACGAGGAGGTCCACCTCCTGGGCATCGGCTGCCACGTTGGAGATAAGCAATCGAAACAGTAGACTCTCCTTCTCTTCAGCCACTCTATCTCGATCCCGCGCTTGAATAACGGTTTGGAAGAGGTCACCGGGCTTTTGCGCTGTTCGTTGTACCAAATCTGCGTGGGCTGGGCATCCCCACAAGTCAGAGCTATGTATGTGCGCATTCCAGCTTTAGTCACCTCGTCGTCACCATCTAAGCTTGCCACGATCAGTGCAACTATGTGAGCAATGCATTCTTGCAAAAGATCTCGAGCACTCTCGTTGCTGCTACCCATAGAATTCGTTTGGGTTGAGTTCAGTACCGTGAGGTAGACAGCAGAGATATTGGGTCTCTCGTTGCACAAAGTAGAGGATGATCCTCTCACTTTGCAAAGCTGACGACGAACCTCATGGAGGTCATGCTGATCATCTGAAATGTCTTGACGGGTTGATGATAGCTCGTGCTTGAGTTTAGTAACGATCGACTGTAGTACATGTCTTTCCTGCTCAGGACTTGACGCAGTCGAAGTCTCGTACATCTCTGCAAGCATTTGCTTGGAGGATTCCTCGTCGTTTACTGAAGCTGGTGTTGACGAGGAGTGCGCATCATCAATGCTTTGGAGGAATCCTTTATCGAGATTTGAGTCAGTATGAGGCTCAAGCAGATACTGAAACAAAGGTAGATATACTTGGATGAGCGCCTGCAGTTATAGCTCGCTCTCGCTCCATTGGGCGGCTGTTCAGACCCTCGTTCACGCTGTGGCCATCTTTGGATCTACCGTCCATAGGCATATCTGCCGCCGAATCCAAGCAAGGTCAGAACTGGATATGTTTTAGGTGAGTGGAGTGGGCCTTCTTACATTCTGCCTTGTTGGGTCTTTGGCTTGTTTCTGTCAATAGGCTTATGATGCTAGCCAATTGGCGGCTCAAGAGACCACTTGTTCCAGGTGAAGACACTCGCGCCTGAAGACCGATGATTCCTTGGGTCTGGTTGATTACAGATCGACTAGTGGCCGTTGATGTTATTCACCGTGATATCGTTCCAGTAAGACGCTCTCAAACTCCCGATTCAAACGATTCAACCGTCTGCCACTGCAACGCAAAATAACTTCCGCCCACCAACAGAAGAAAGCTCCTCCAAAATCCCAGTAGAAGTGCAGAAATGCGGACGTACCTTGATTTGAGTCACCTTTTCAAGCTAATAAAGCACTATTACCAGGAAGCGGTTGCTGCACTTGCGTCGACTCGTAAAGTATCAAGACAAGTCGTGTTCGCTGGAGGGCTGGTGTGATTGACTAAAGCAGAATACATGCCAAACATAATTAAGTAAAGAAGGAGCGTAATAACATTAAACAGGAGCAAACGCAATGGACCATTACGCTAGACCCAACACCCCGCTACCAAATGAATGAGAAGTGAAGTGATTTCCCTATGATGACTACAAGACTCCCTATTATGTTGAATGACATTATGTGCGGGACAAGTGAGTGCATGGTGCTATGTGAGACCCATCATTGCAAGATATGGTATGTAGAATGACGCAACGTGCTTGCGAGAAGGACTTTGTCATGACTGTGACTAGAGAATAGGGAAAAGAAGGCTTGCCATATGTATATAGAGACATAGGATAGGGTGTGTTTAAGAGAGTGGCCACGTTGCTAAGTGCGCCTGCGAATAGAAAGATACAGTGACGATGACTCAATGTGAAGATGTATAAAAAATTATATAACAACGCGAATAGAAGGGAGATCGTATTACCAAGTATGCTTGTGAATGAGAAATCCCAGCGACTGTGAATGACTGGGAAGAAGCTGAAAAGCGTGATAATAACACCCAAACAAACATATATGGAGAGAGAGGGAGAGAGAGAAAGAAGGAATTGAAGATAATGACCACATTGGGCAGAGCATCCACTCAAGTATGTATACGGGGCAAAGTGGCTCTGGAACCCATGATCATCCTTCGTGTGCCCTCATACCACCGGAGACGTTGGCGTTTTTTATTATCTCTGCATGATTTACCCCTCTTAGAATTTATCATATATGCAGCGTCATTCACTCCCTGCAGCCCAAAGAAAAGCCCTTGTTACCCTTCAAGATGCTCTGACCTCATATCCAAGAGTAAAAACCAACTCTCCCTCCGTTCCCACTATTAGGAGAAAAAAACTAGCCCTTTGATATAACCCGTGGCTCCAAAAAAACCAACATTAGACCACACAACAACTACAACTTCTTCTTCCCCGCCCCCTTCTTCTCCTCAGCCTGTCGCTCAAACTCCGCCAGCTCCCTCTCCTCGGCCCGTTTCGCATACCACTGCCCCGCCTGCAAGACCAGCACGCCGACCAGGACGAGCGCCAAAATGGTATTACTCGCCGCAAACACCCTCAGCGTATCTTCGCGGCTGATATAATCCGCCGCGTCGTCTTCGGTCAGTTCGCCGGGGCTGGCCTTGGAGACGTCGCCGTAGATGCCTGCGGTGACGACGCGGAAGCCCTTGACGATGTTGGTCAGGTAGACGGTGATGCCAGCCATGTAGAGGACGAGAGAGGCGCCGTCGAAGAGCATGTTGGCTTGGTTTGGCTTGAAGAGCTTGATGAGGAAGCCGAGGATGCCGGTGCCGATGGCGATGTTGAGGATGCGCGAGACGATAGCAGGGGACGCGTACATGAATTTGATGTGCTCTTCGAGGATGTTGAAGTAGAGGGTGCGGTCGTCAGGGAGCGTCCAGAGTACGTTGTAGTCGTAGGGCAGTTGGGCGAAGAGAATGCCGAGGAAGAAACATGTTGCTGTTTGGCAGCTTTGTTAGAAAACAACTGGTTATGATGAGGGCATAGGGTATTGAGTGAAGCCATGGTTGGGGCGAGGGAGCATTATGACGGGCCGTGGGGGCGGGGGGACTACCTACGTCCTACCACGAGGAATTGGGCAAAGTTATTGCCGGCCATAGTTGCGAAATGGGAGTCAGATTTGGTGGCGCGAAGCTATGCGCGAGAGGAGAGAAAGAGAGTAGAGACAGAGCCAGAGAAAGAGTTGCGTGTGTGCCTATGTGGAGCAAGCTAGGCGCGATCTCGTTGTCGCCGCAATTACTAACAAGATTGCGCGGGATGGATAGCTAAGGTAAGCCTAATGAAGCAGGTAGGACGCGCGATGGTGACAATTGCACATCACTCTTGCGACACGGTGAATGGCTCAAAAGCATTCGAGTACATCATATTGTGATGTCGTGACGCTTTGGGGCTCTCCCACTGTACGGTAGCGACCCCGCGAATGCATCCGGCGATGATGCTAGTCTAGGTAACCCACATGATTGCTGTCGCCTTGCCACTTTGGCGTGTATAAACGGTCGCTTCTCGGCCGACTTGTCGAAGGGTCATTCAAGAGTTTGCCAAGAGCACAGTTTTTGGGATTTCGGGAAGCACAGAGGCCATTGAAAGTGTGTTTGATTCATGTGCTATCAACTCATGGTGCGTCTCTTCAATCGCAAACGATGTTAAACCTGCACCCAAGAACATTCATGTCTGCAACGCCGTGAGACGCCATACGTAGGAATTGAGATTATCAAATTTGATCATCATGCGTTTTAGTAAGCATATTCGTCGTCCATATCCTGATCGTCGCCAGCTTCGATGAAGACCAATCTCGTACCCTCTCCTGTCGTTTGCCAGACCTGAAAAATTCTACATTAGTATACGGGTTGGGAGCTTCACATGACCTTGGGAGACTTACATCGAGCAATGCGTACTCATCAATGGCCTGTTCAAACTGATCTGCAGTGAAGCCCTTGGCCAATACGCGCTCCCTGACACGGCGCAGATCCAACTCTCCCCTAGTGCCGTCCCCAACAGCAGCAGCACCGCTGGCCTCCATCGACTTGATGAGATGATAGATCTTACTGCTTGGTGTGTGATCGTCTCTGCGATTCTCGTCGGCATACAAGCTGGCCTTGCTGACCTCTGTGAGACGCAATGCCTCATCCACATCTTCTGCAATGACCTGTTCGGCAAATCGCAGACGCGCCAACGCTTGTGCGAGACGCAATACACCAAGAAGTGTACGTGGAGATGTGTGCGTAAACGCTTTTTTGTTTCCATCGTCGCGCTTCTGCTGTTGGCGCATGCGTACATAGGCACCAACCATGTAGTCGGAAACTTCCTTGGGCACCGTGGGTCGGTAGGACCTTGCGCGAGCCACCCATTGTCGCACTTCGGCCGGGCTGAAGATGATGCCTCCCGGTCCCTCGGGGTGAGCATTGTGCATATGCACATAGGTGACATGGCGTGCCAATTCTTCATCTGAGTCGCGAGCAGGGGTATCTAGGATGAGAAAAAGAACGTCAAAACGCGACAAGAGCGCGGCGGGAAGGTTGATGTTCTCGATGGGCGAGAGGCGTGGGTTGTAGCGTCCGTAGAGAGGATTGGCTGCGGCGAGAATCGATGTGCGAGCGTTGAGGGTCGTGGTTATACCAGCCTTGCTGATGGAGATGGTCTGCTGTTCCATGACTTCGTGGATAGCAGTCCGATCGCTGTCGTCCATCTTGTCAAATTCATCAATGCAGCACATACCATTGTCAGCCAAGACTAGAGCACCACCTTCAAGAACCATTTCGTCAGTAACTGGGTCACGCATGACTGCAGCAGTGAGACCGACACCACTGCTACCACGACCGGTTGTGTAGACACCACGTGGTGCCACTTTGGTGATGTACTTGAGCAATTGCGATTTGGCCACACCAGGATCACCCATCAAACAGACGTTGATATCACCACGAATGCGCATTCCATCGCCCACTTCCTTGGTGACACCACCAATGAGCTGGAGAAGGAGTGCCTTCTTGACGTCGACGTGGCCAAAGATTTCAGGGGCAATGGATCGCGACAGATACTCGTAGAGCTGGCCAGTCCTCTCGAGCTCGTTCATCCTTCTCAGAGTCGGCTGCGCTAAAACGATATCGTCGTACGCCTTTTTGTGCTGGAAAACATGTTGAGCTTCCAGGTAGGTGTCCGTGAGCAGACCGGCGCGTATTGCTTTGAAGCCGGTGTAGGGCGTGGGCAGGAAGATGCCTGCGACGTCAACGACATCTCCCGGGTTAATCTGGCGGACCAAGGCACCATGGCAGTGGATGGTCAACTGTCTAGGAATATGACCCACCGGCACCTGATCGGCCATTTCTTGAATTTTGACCTCCTGGAAAGGAAGAAACTTGGAAGCGCGAGTAGAGAGAAAAAGCTGCCCCTTGGTCTTGTTGCTCTTGCACTCTTCCGAAGGGCACTCGACCATGGGAGTGAACTGCTTCGTGGTCACTGGCTGAAAGACTTCACTCCCACAACGATCACAGGAGTAGGCATTGACTAGCACGGCCGGCTTCACATCCGATACTCGTGTGGCGATGCCGCGGACTGTGATGAGGTGACCGAGATGCTCTCCTCGAACATTCCGGACGGCGAGGGCCTTGGTACTTCGTTGGCTGCTGGCACCAGCCGGTATCCTGGGAATAAAGTTGAGCGTGTATCGGCGAGTCAAGGCTGCGGGGAAAATGGTCTCTGGCGCAGCTTGCGCGCTGTCGTCGACGCCTTGAAGCTCCTGCATTCTCTCGTTGCGCTTGGAGCGCTGAGTCATGATGACATCTAAAACATCATCCTTGAAGCTGTGGTGTGGTCAGTCGCTGAAGGGGGTGGTGGTCTCAGGGTTGAGGACATGTCGTACTTGAGCTCTCTTGTTGGCGCTGGTAAGCACTTGTCCACTGCCCGTGACAGAATCTCGATGTAATGATGAGCGTTGCGTTCAATTGACTCGACAAGCTTGAAGTTGTGCTCTTCGTCTGACGTTGCTTTCTCGTACTTTTTTTTTTTGCTGCTGATTAGCACAATGTTTTGGTACATATTCAGAAGGTGGGACGACTCACGGCCTCGATGTCGTTGAGATCTATTTGAATCTCGTCGCGCATGCGATTTGCAATGTCTTGCAGCATGTCCATATACTTGAGCTTCGACTTGTTCCGCGACTGTGTTCCGTTTGGCGCAGGGTCGTCCTCGCCGTCGACCATGTCGTACTCGTCCTCGCCGTCGCCATTGAGGTTCAGGTTCTCGAGTTGGTCTGCTGCTTCGGTGGAGGAAGATTTGAATGTCTTGAGGAAGTCGACAAAAGCGGCTGGAAGCGCTGTTAGCTGGATGCCCTTGTTGTGTTCCCCCAGGGTCTACCGACCTTCCTGCTCGTCGTAATTGACGGGCGCATTGGTGTTGAAGAGCGCCATACTTCTTCGGCCGACTATGCAGAGTCTGTGATTACGGCGCAGGAGATGCTTGTCGAATGGAGTAGCGGGCAGTGGGCTGGCATGTACTTAGCTTAGTCCATGTACAACTACTGTATTCTGTCCATGGCACAGCAACTCAGCAGCAGTTAGGCAATTTTGGGGCATGGGGGGCTGGTCGCGTTCCATGGGCGCGCGTCAACCCGCGTTTCCAGCCAGGGCGCGCGATTGGCTGCCACTTTTCTCTCCAGGGCTTTGCTCTCTCTGCCAGCCCAGACCGCCTTTGGACGTTCCCCTGCCATGGCTGGCCAGACAGTCACAGAGAGGAGAGCTGATCATCGGCGGCCGACGACCTCGGCATCTGTTGTGGTGGTGTCAACTTTGAGTCTTTTGTGTCAACTGCTGTCAACTTGAGTGAATGGCTACCATCTACTACCGGTACCTATTACCGGGAAAATCCTACCTACCGCTATCGTATAGCTTCAACTTCCCCAGTCGCCATTGCTGTGTGAATCTACATCACCACCAAACGCAGCATGCCGCCAAAGAAGCCTGCAGGAAATGTCGTCCAGGCTGAGGTCGCCTTGCAGCCATCGCTGAAGAATTGTCTCGTCAACCTCCCGCCTTCTCTGGTTTCTGTGCTCGTGAATGCCAACACGGTCCGTCCACTCTGCGCAAACCCACCGTCCCACGCATTGCTACCACTGTTGTTGTTGCTGCTGCTGCTGCTGCTGCTGCTGCTGCTACTACTACTGCTACTACTACTGCTACTACTACTGCTACTACTACTACTACTGCTGCTGACAAGTTCCCCCCACAGGTTGCTCAGAATGTCGTCGTCGAACTCACCTATCGCCAGCCTGCACCCCCGGGCGCTTCCGATGCGCGAACTGCTGCCGCCCCGCAAAAGTCCGTCTACGTAGGGTGGACGGGCATGCAAAGCAAGCGGCGCATTGCCCCTGTAGTCACACGAGATGGCATGAGGGCAAACCCGGCCGCGAGCCAGCAAGACCTGCCGGCCGTCGAAGTCGATGCGACATTTGCGCGCTTGATTGGCCTCCAAGAAGGGCAGAAAGTGGGCGTCATACTACACCTCGACCCACCTCAGGCGCATACCATCAACATCGAGCCATTGACGCCTGTCGACTGGGAGATGATTGAGCTGCATGCCCAGTTCCTAGAACTCAACTTTCTGTCCCAAATCCGCGCCCTCCCGAACCCACACGCTCACACGCCGCATCCCCTGACCCTCCACCTCTCGCCCACCACGACCGCCAACATCACAGTCACATCCATCGCCCCGGCCCCTACAACCCCCTCGCCCTTTGTCAAGATCTCCCCGGACGCCGAGGTCATTGTTGCGCCCAAGACACGTCAGAAGGAACGGAGCTCGACACGCGAGAGCAGGAGCGTCGGGGCTGCTTCAAGGAAAAGCGGCAAGAGCACAGCGAGCACCGTCAGACGTCGCAGTGGTCGTGAGGAAAATGCCACTAAGGGCGCCGTTTTCCTTCGCGGTGTCGATCGTGCTGTGGCAAAAGAGTGGTTTGACGATGATGATGATGATGATGATGACGACGCAGATGCCCAAGGTCTTCAAGTATGGGTGGACAAGGAAATTCTCCTGACAAAGGCTCTTAGGGGTGCCAATTGGGTCTCTGTGGCCATCATCAGGCCTGCAGGACTGCAAGAGCCAGTCGACATGTCCAAAGAGCAGGATCAGGAGAAGCCAGCCACTCGCGTTGTCGCCAAGATCGCGGCTTGGGAAGATGCACCTGACAGTCGCCACGTTGCGCTCTCGACCCCCTTGTGCAAAGTACTGGGTTTCGAGGGTTTCGTTGGAGGACTCGTCCGCATCGAAGGCGCGCCAAATCAAACGGCGAAGCCTTCTGCGATAAAACCACAAGGCACGAAAGAGTCAAGAGATCCTGTCGTCAAGACGGTCAAGGTTCTCCCCTTTTCCACCACAGCCTCGCTAAGTGATGCGTCTCTCAGATTCGGCGGCGAGTCAAAGCAAGAACAAGAAGACGCGATCAACAAGATCAAGACTATGTACGGGAAGAAGAACGGTCTTTTAGACGGGCCTGTCACGGATGGCATGGTTTTACCTCCTCCAAAAGATGCCATCAGTGGCTGGCAAGGTGGAATAGTACGATTTGATCCGCCACAACAAGCCTCTGGAGTATCATGGGTGCTCTTCCCAGAAAGGAAGCCTGCTATCGAACTAGGACAAGAAATCGCTATACCATCAAGCTGGGCAAGAGGATGGCAACAGGGCGAACCACTGCCAGAGGTCCCACCCAACCTCGTTGGTATTGATCCTCTCATCGAGCAGCTGCGGTGGCATCTTGCCCATAACTCTTCTGTACTGCTGACAGGAGGCCTTGGAGCAGGCAAGTCGAATTGCGCTCAACTGCTGGCTCACCAGCTACGAACAGGATATATGTTTAACGCCATCTACTTTCCTTGTCGAAAATTGTTAACCGATGAGACGAGAGTCGCCACTATCAAAGAGATGCTCAACAGATTATTTGCATCTGCGTCGTGGGGTGCTAGAGGAGGCGGAAACGCCGTTGTTATATTAGATGATTTGGACAAGCTGTGTCCTGTAGAGACGGAGTTGCAAGTCGGCAACGAAAATGGTCGTAGCCGTCAAGTCAGCGAATGTCTCATCAGCATTGTCAGGCAGTACTGTTCCATGGATTCAGGTGTGGTGCTTCTGGCTACTGCGCAAGGGAAGGAGTCGCTCAACAACGTCATCGTGGGTGGTCACATCGTTCGGGAGATTGTCAGTTTGAAGGCACCCAACAAGGATGGCAGGAGGAAGGTACTGGAGATGCTAGCACGGAAAGACGCGAAGACACAACCGGAACCTCAGACCAACGGCCATGCGTTTCCAGACTCACCATCGACTAGCCGACCCAGTACATCACACCGTAGTCCACCCAGCGCCGGGAGTATACCCCATGACACTGATAACGGAGACTGGGGTTTTGTCATCGACTCTACGATAGACTTTCTCGATATCGCTGGCCAGACTGATGGGTATATGCCCGGCGATCTCGTCCTCCTCACCTCGCGCGCCCGCAACGAAGCCCTCATTCGCTCCGTGACCGACTCGTCTAATCTCGTTACTCTCACACGAGATGACTACACACAGGCTTTATCAGGCTTCACCCCCGCCTCCCTCCGCAATGTCACCCTCCAATCCTCGACCACAAAATGGGACTCTATAGGTGGTCTTCACACTACCCGTCAAATTCTTCTTGAAACCCTTCAATACCCCACAACCTACGCTCCCATCTTCGCCCAATGTCCCCTCCGCTTACGATCAGGTCTCCTTTTGTATGGCTACCCCGGCTGCGGCAAGACCCTCCTCGCCTCCGCCGTAGCAGGTGAATGCGGCTTGAATTTTATATCGGTCAAGGGACCCGAAATCCTGAACAAATATATTGGTGCCTCTGAGAAGTCGGTTCGCGATCTTTTCGAACGTGCAGAGGCTGCTAGACCGTGTGTTCTCTTCTTCGACGAATTCGATTCCATTGCACCAAAACGTGGCCATGATTCTACGGGTGTGACGGATCGGGTGGTGAACCAGTTGCTCACGCAAATGGATGGCGCCGAGGGATTATCAGGCGTCTATGTTCTCGCCGCTACGTCGAGGCCTGATTTGATCGACCCTGCGCTCCTGCGCCCGGGCCGTTTGGACAAGAGCCTGCTGTGCGACATGCCGGACGTAGAAGAACGAATTGACATTCTCAAGGCGGTCACCAGAAAATTGCATCTCGCGCCCAGCCTCCTCACGTCCGACAGCTCCGGCCAAAACCTGCGCGAAATCGCACAGCGCACAGAAGGCTACTCGGGCGCCGATCTCCAAGCCGTCGTCTACAACGCCCAACTCGAAGCCATCCACGACGTCCTCGGCGACAACGAAGGCGGTGACCCCACCAAAATCGGCGGCGGTGACAACAAGAAACTATCAAAATCCAACAGGGACAAGAGCAACACGATCCCAGACTTTACCCACTTCCGCTACGGCGACGACCCCTCCGCCCCCGCCATCACAAGCACTTCCCCCGCTCACCTAGCAAGCGCCCAACTTACGGAACGCGCGCTTATTGCGCAGAAAATCGCGGCCTTGCTCGCTCTCCGCCGCCAGCAGAAATTGCAACTCCGGCCTTCTTCCTCGCATGACGACAACAGCAACGATGGCGGGGGCCATGACGCATCTGGCAAAGGTGGCGATGCCACGGACGCCGCGGTCGAGCGCAAAGACCCCCAGATCCAGTGGAAGCATATCGAGCTGTCTTTGACGAATGGACGCAGCAGTATTAGCGCGCAGGAGCGGTTGCGGCTCGAGAGGATTTATAGGGAGTTTGTGGATGGGAGGGATGGGGATTTGCCGAATGGGCAGGGGGGGACGGAGATTGGCGGGAGAAGTAGTTTGATGTGAATGGGGGGTTGATTGGTATGCTGATGGATGGGAGCTAGGAGTGCAAGTGTTAAAGTTTAGTTTGTGGGATTGGAGATAGATCTTCGGTTGGATGTGGAGATCGAGGATGTGGGTGGTGGTACAGTACGCATGGGCACTGTGTGTATAGTTCGGGGAACAAGTGAGGGACAAATGCCAAAGCTTCCATGGTGTACATTGGATCATGGGCATGGCGTACTCCCAGGCAGTCAACAAGATCTTTCATAGAAACACATGTTCAACATGGTTCACACGCTCATATTTCATTCAACCTCATAACCCTCAAGCTGCACACATCCCACATCCGCCTCCCGCAACCACAGCCTTTACTTCCCAACAACCCCCCTAGCCTTATCCTCCACCTTGGCCGCAACCGCGCTCGCCTTATCCCCCACCGTCTCAGCCCCACTCTTCATCTTCGCCTCGAGACTGGCTTCCCTGCCGCCGAAATTCCAGTAATTGAGGTAGCGGTAGCCTTGGACGAGCTGCGAGGAGAAGTTGATGGCATGGCAGCCGAACAGCAGGTAGTTTGCTGGTGTGACAGCTAGGGCGTAGCGCATAAAGGTGCCGGAGTAGAGGGTAAGGGCGCCGGTCATGCGGCCGGAGATGCTGGGTTGGAGTGTGTTAGTGCGTGGCGGGATAGGGAGTTTAGTGAGAGAGATTATATAAGAGGTAATTGAGGGATGTCTCAAGATAGATGTAGGAAGGCAGGATAGAAAGGACAAGATAAACCAACTCACATTTCAGGATCCTTACTCATATCCGCAATCGCCGCAATCGGGATACCAAAGTTACTCGCCGGACCCCAGAAATCTGTAATCCGCACAGTTAACATGTATATCCATCAGCTTTTTCCATACTTCCCCTTCCAATCCTCTTAGACAACCTCTCGCGCGGAGAGACACACTCAGAATGCGGAATCAATGTCTTGCACTACCCATATACCACCTCTTTGCCAATGCGCACCCGCGACTGGAGAAACGGGGGGGTAAACGTACGAGTCGAGCAGAAGTAATCCGTGTACTTGTTTGAGCGAATCTTCGCATTGAGGGCTTTGATTGCAGCAGCCATCTTGTTTAAAGGTGGTGGGGCGGGCGAAGTGGTTGTCGAGTGAGGGCGGGGGGAAAGGAAAAGAGGCCGTGCAAATGCGTTGCGGGATTGGGGTCGCGGAGCCGCTTCTGATGGTGGTGAGCCCTGGACCTAGGATGCGCCTGGGCGGAAGTCGGGTTTGCCAAGGTTTTTGTCGGGGAAGTTCAGGGACCGAAGGGTGCAGGGCAGCGTTCAGCGGGAAGGGTGTCACGTGTGTTGCGATATAACCAGGAATTGCCTGGATCAGGTATTTGTAGACTGGATGTTTATAAAGCAAGGGATTCACAGAATTCACAGTACAAATGGACATGAACTGTATAGTATGGGTATGTATGTCATTGCAGCCATTGTGGCTATTGACATGCTGGCCTATTCCAAGGCCATTGAATTAGGCCAGGAACGCTTTTGTAAAGTTTGGTATCTCTTGCGCTTCTACAGTTAAGCTCGAAGCGTAGAAAAGGGCGCTGACAATATGATGCACAGTTGTCTCCGAGACTGGTGTAGACGAATATATCCGCCCATGCATGATCGTGGGATGCGCTACCCGGGCTTCAATCCACTTGTCTTGTTGCAGCAAACCCAAGCGTCGATTTAGGTCGTCCAAAAGTTGATATAGCTGGTCATCCGTCCTGTCTTATCTGCCACCGAATCCAGGGGGTCCACCACGACCCTGAAAGCCAGGCGGGCCGCCGAAGCCGGGAGGTCCACCGAATCCAGGAGGTCCCCCGGGGGGGAAGCCAGCTAGACACTGTTAGTAATACTATAAAGAACTGATAAGGAGGGTAACCTACGTGGTCCACCGGGTGGGCCACCACGCCCTGGGAAACCAGGCGGTCCTGCAAAGCCCCCTGGTGCGCCTGGGAAACCTGCTCCAAAGCCAGGACCTGGGCCACCAACACCAGCAGCGGGACCAGTTAGGCCTACGGGTAGACCGCGGCCAACAGGTCGTGCGGCACCAGGTCCAGCAGCCAACGTTGCGGCCGTGGTAGGGGCTCCGCTGGTCGCTCCCAATCGCGCCGCAGGATCTGCGGGAGGCGGTCCATCGACTGACAGTGAGATGACATGCGCGCCACGAATGATGGTGAGTCCAATTGCGCGGCGCTCCTCTGTCTCGGTGACTTGCTGTGTTGCGCCGGGTGCGGCCTTGCCTCTTCGTCGCGTGCGTCGAAACTCTTCTGTGTCGGCGAGAACGAGATTCATGTGCTGCAATTGCACTATCAGTAGGGCACCCATGGCACAAGACTGCGCGACCACGGACCTTGTCGAACGCGAGCATCTGCCCAACCATCTGCCTGCCATCCTGAAGTGTGACCTTCATGCGGTAATTGATCTAACAGTCATGAGCATAATGCAATCATGTGAAGGCTTTGGAGCGCTTACTAGGTTTTGCTATTCATCGAGCGTCAGTCAGTTTCTATGCGCGTCTTCTTTCAGGTCAAGGACATGGAGCTTCGCAGGCAGCGCTACATACCATCTTGCCCTGTCTATTTGCTGCGCCAGACATGATGAGTGTTGCGCGTCCGAGGACGACTTGGGCTTCTATAAAGGGGGAGTTTTTTTGTTCGGAATAGTTTGGAAAACGAGCCCCCTCAGAAGCTGGCCGTAGTGGGGGGAGGATGGGCTGGACATGCGCGGTGCTTTGGTGTTGAAGTTCGAAGCTTTCGAAGCACGGGCCACGGCCTTTAGTCTTGGCTTTCCCACGGTCTCGCTAAACGACCTGAAAATCCACCAACTTCGAACTTGCGATCTCCAGCGACAACAACCCGACAGCCTCCCACGCCTACTAACACCCGCAGTCAATCACAATGGTACGCACCGAACAGAAAGTCCTGCGCAACAGAGCAACGGCAACGAGAAAGATGATAATAGACTAACAGCAATGGCAGTCTGACAAATCCTCCAACCCCATGCGGGAGCTCCGCATCCAAAAGCTCGTCCTCAACATCTCCGTTGGCGAATCTGGTGATCGTCTCACTCGTGCCGCAAAGGTGCTCGAGCAGCTGTCTGGTCAGACCCCCGTCTACTCCAAGGCCCGCTACACCGTCCGTACTTTCGGTATTCGAAGGAACGAAAAGATCGCTGTCCACGTCACTGTCCGCGGCCCAAAGGCTGAGGAGATTCTCGAGCGTGGCCTCAAGGTCAAGGAGTACGAACTCCGCAAGCGCAACTTCTCCGAGTCTGGCAACTTCGGTTTCGGTATCTCGGAACACATCGACTTGGGCATCAAGTACGACCCTAGCATTGGGTAGGTGGATTCGCGGCAACAAACATAATGAGGACGTCACACTGACTGGAGATAGTATCTACGGAATGGACTTCTACGTCTGCATGACCCGCCCCGGTGAGCGTGTCGCCAAGCGCAGGCGGTGCCAGAGCAAGATCGGCGCCTCCCACCGCGTCAACAAGAACGAGACCATCAAGTGGTACAAGAACCGATTCGAGGGCATTGTCCGATAAGCGTGTCGTCGATTAGGTGGAGCATGGGAACGAATGAAGATTTTGCATGATACTCAGCATCTCGGTCTCGGAAGGTCTGGTCCTATGGAGTCCTGGGTGTATCTACAAAACAGCAAGCATTGAACTTGCGGCCTATCAATGGAGCATGACCGGGTCTCTAACGAGCGGGTCTACGATCACATTTACAATGGAGGCTTCACTTGGGTGATGTTCCGTATAACCATTGTGTGATCAACTCTTGCCCATTGCCTATTGGGATGTTGGCTGTGATGTTGCTGACCAGCAGGTTCCTTTGTTGCCAAAATTTACGCTCGTCCGTGGTTGCTTACTAAGTGCACCATAATCGTTCATCATATCGAAATTCTAGGCATAGAGATGGACGTTGATATTCAAAGGTAGGATTTTTAGGAGGAATTCATTCCACCACACCCTTCTGAATTGAGAGAATGTCGAGATGTAGTTCAAGCATATGTGCCTCAATCCCCTAGGTTGCATCCAACCGTCTGGCTCCCTATTATCACCGCATCATCCAGCCCGGCTGAGTAGTACTCAAGTCATCAATAATCCCGATCTGGATCATGCCTCTGCCCCCAAAACCGCCTCTGGGCTTCCTCGCGAAGCCATCTATTCCGCTGCGCCTCCTCCAGATGCGCAGGCGAGCGGCCGCACTTGGGGCACACGAATGCGCTTGCAACCCACATGGGCTGCGGGTTGAGTCCACAGGGGCAATGATAGCAGATGGGCATCTTTTATGTGATTTGGATGGGTAAAGGCAGAGTGCTGGGTGGGTTTTTATTTAGTAACAGGTGGGAATAAATGGGTGGCTGTGTGGTAGGCTGTGATGTGATGAGATGCGGCGAGATGAATTTATAGATAAGGGTGGATGGAAGACGTGGTCATGTATGTACTGCGCAGGAGGCCATACTTTTCGCATAGCTAGATAGGGTATGTTGTCCAGGAATGCTGTACGACACGTAGGTTTGGACGACATTCTGGGTTTGTGGCCATGGCCATGGTCATGGTCACGGTCGTGGTGATGACTGGGGCCATGTGATGTGAAAGTGGTCCAATGACATCTTTACTTTGAACAGCGAATATATCGAGCTATTCATCATGATCATTTACATGTACATTTCAACGTGTAATTTATACGATTAAGCCCACAATGATTGCGTTTTTCTTCCTGTCACACTGCCACTACACATGTACATTTCAACGTGTAATTTATACGATTAAGCCCACAATGATTGCGTTTTTCTTCCTGTCACACTGCCACTACACATGTGTATCGCATCACCCTCTGTCAAGTCCTCCTTCACCCTTCAATCCCACGAGCCTCGCCCACCACGACATACCTGCATCAGCAAAGTCCCAAGACATATTTTACCGAAACAACAAAGCCATGAATTAACTCTCCCTACAAGCACCTTTTCCACAACCAAGAAATACACAAATTGGCTTCACTTCCTCCCTTCAGAGGATTCCCTTCCATCGCAGACACTTCGTAAAATTACCGCTTTAGGCAAGTAGAAAACCGTAGATTGCAGCAGGGTGGTTAGGGTTAGGGTTAGGGTTAGGGCCACTATCTCACTCGGTTTGGAAAACTGCTCCTACTCCTGATTCCCGAAGTTATACGTTCGCGTTTACTTATATCACGTGACCAGCCCATACCTTCACCCTCCACGAGCGGACTGCATGAAGTACCGCCTTGGTGTATCGAGATCCGACTTCTTGTAGCCTAGCTACCCACATCAAGACCTCACAATCGCATGCATGTGGGAAGCCCTCCCTCTTTAGTAAAGGTATCAACGTTCATTGCATTCTTTTTCCTTCTCCAGTCCAGTCCGTACACAGCCCAGCATCTATCCCGTCCAGAGACACAAGGACACGTTACTCTCAAAAACAAGGTATCTTAGTGTAGTAGTAAGAAAATGAAGAAAAAGTCCAGCTCCGAGATGTGAAAAAGGAGGGGACGGTATCAAAGCGATAGACAAGGCCAATGCCCATGGACATACAAATACACAGACCCACAGAGACGATCAAAACCCCGAACGAAGCCGAATAACAAATAAGCCTGATGGCTCACAATCACTCCCTACTCCTATATACCCCCGCCCCCAAAAAATGTACAGTTCATTTCCGCCAGAGATGGCTGTGCCAAAGATCCCAGATGGAAAGATGTTGAGAAAGGAAAGGACATGGACGATGACGCAGCGCTATGCAGTCTGAGATGGCAAAAGTGGGTTTCGGAAGAAAAGCACCCGCGTGGTGGCAGCCGCTCATTTCTGGCCCGTTACCGAGGACCCAAAGTCAAAGCCTGGGACTTGTTGGGGCGGCGGGTAGGAGGGCGACGCAAGGGGTGTGTATGCACCCGGAATGGGCACAGCGGCATAAGTTTGCTCGCCGGGTGCTGCTGCGACATGCTCGTTGTGTCGCTCCACAAAAGCAGGTGACGCAAGTGGTGGTGAGACTGTCTGTGTGCGTGCGGGTGCGTCGAAGCCATTTTGCTCCATCTTTGGTGTTGCGCCTGTAATCTTGATGGGTGGCATTTGGAGGGCAAAGGGCTGTGGTTGGGCGATCTCGCGCGCATATGCGTATTGAACCTTGTCGCTCTCACCAGCCTCAGCGGCGGAGTGCGGGTCAACGTACATGGGGTGGCCTGGAGGGGGTCTCCAGCCTCCGGAGCGAGGTGACATTGGGCCAAAGCCGGGGGTGTTGGGGGCGGATTGAGAGCGGAGCTGTGCGAGGTAAAGATCAGAGCGGGCGCGATCACGCTGGGCCATGGACTTCCTGAGCTTCCGCTTGGACCAGAATCGGTAGAAGACAATGCCGTAGATACTGATACAGAGAACCTCAATGACGATTTCGATGATGCAACAGACCAGAGCCCAATTCTACTCATTGTTAGTACTACACTGGAGAAAGTTCCGACATTTTGCTCTCACCTGCAGACGGCAGACAAGGCTGTAGGCAATGTCGTTCTCAAAGAGATGTCTTCGTTTGTTGTCCACGCAGGACCAACCCCACATGTCCTTGTTGTTGTTCTGGGCTTTGCTCTGGTTGAATACAGCCGCACCTACGGCCCACATGATGATGCTGAAGATGAAGAATCCGATAGCAAAGACAGTGTAGTAAGCAGCGACTTTCTCTGCTTTCCGGTGACCGCCTTTCCAGTAGGCGATGATGACAACGATGGAGATGACGAGGGAGAGAGCGGCGATGCAGAGAAGCAGGACCTGGGGCCAGATCATGGTATTTTGAGCCCATGGAGGAAGGCCGTTTCTTGGTGCGAGATGTTTTGTGGTGTTGAATATGGCGAATGCGGTTGCAATCATGGAGAGAACGATGAGACTGCAGGCGAAGTTGATGCCGCGAAGGAAAATCTTGGCTAGCCTCACTCGTACTTTGATTTTCTGGTGGACGTTATTAGTGGCTTGTCTGGATTGTGCAAGGATGGGAGAGTCTACCAAGTCTTTGGCCTGCTCTTTCTCTGTCATGGCCTCCCGCTTCTCCAGCATCTTCTCTTGCTTGAATGTAGGGCTCATGATGGAGGCGGCGCCACCAGGTGTTCGTGGAGGAGCACCTGGTGACTTCAAAGCACTCCGGAGTGGAGTCTTTGGCGTTGGTGGGGGAAGGTATTTGCGGTCAGTCTCCTCCATTTCGACAGACTGCATGTAGCCAAAGCCTACGTCTGCCACTTGGGGTTGCGGCTTGTAGTGGTTAGTGGGGTAGGCGAGCGGTGACCGAGGTGGGTCAACCGGAGAGTAGACTGATGTGGCTTCGGCGAAGCGTGCTGTGCGTGGTGTTCTGACCTCGAGGCTGTTTTCTGAACTTCGTCTTTCGATCGTAACCGTGGTAACCTTTTTATCGTTGGTGGACATCCTCAGGCTATGCAGTGTTCACTCGAAGCAGGATCGAGGCTGTCATCCAGGAACAAGCGAGCAGAGGGGGATCAAGCAACAAGCGACAAGAGGAGAGGGGTGCAAGATGGGTTTTGAAGGTTCAGGGACGACGACTCGGATCCAGTCCAGCTTAGACAAGTCGCAGAAGGGGCAGTTCAGAAAGCAGAAGTCGAGAAGAAGACGCACGACGACGTATTACCATATGAGACCTGCTAGAGAAAAGAGAAAGGAACAGAGGCCATGGGCGAAGCGCTGGGCTTATGACCTGGGGGCGCTTCGAAGGCGGGCGAGCACAGGGATTGGATGGAGAGGAGAACACGGGTGGAGAGATGTGAGATGGAAGCGGGCGGGTACTTACGACGACTACCTAGTAGTACTCCATGTACTGTGTGGCGGCTAGAGGAAGCTGGCTTGCACCACTGCAGGTCCCCGTCTGATAGGCCAAGCGCAGAGACGAGATGGTTGCAATGGCGGCCGGGAGGAGAAGGAGGGGAGGTTAAGGTGGATTGGCCCAGAAATAGACGCCCGGCAGAAGTCGATGATGGATGGATGGATGGATGGATGGATGGATGGAAGGACGGTTTACAAAACGAGGCAGATGCCAATGAAAGACGGGTGCAGCGCAAGGAGCCTGGTATACCTATTACGAGCGTCTGACAGGCTGGTTCTATTCTCCCGTCAGCGTCGCGGAGAAGAAAGGACGGCCAGGGCCAGGGCCAAAGTAGAGGTTCAGTCGGTGAGGTTGTACGTGTGCACACTTTTGTTTTCTTTTCCTTTTTACTTTGCGCCTCCAGACGGCCGAGGAAGGAGTGAGGTAGTATAACACCACAACACTACTGCGATACCACTCTACTCTATCGCCCAGTGCTGTGTAGCCTCCGGGCCCATGTCGACGCCCTTCGTGCCCCTCTGGGAACCGGGACTTTCTCAACTGTCTGGCCAGCATGGTGGGCGTTTGGAGAATGGGCAGCAGGGGGGAGCGGATGGGGGCAACCTGCAATATCCAATTGTTTGAGGCTGTTAGACGCCAGCAAAACGCAGCATGGCCGCGATGGGTGATGAGTGGTTGGAGTCGACATGGCCATTCCAGGCCTACTATGTCCAAAGTAGATATAGTGCAAGAGAGAAGAGCGCTAAGCCACAACAAGCCTGCGGGAAGCGCGCACTCGTCTTTGCAGCCACCAATCAGCGCGGGAAGGAGCGTCCAAGACTCTGGGAAGGCGCCGCCCAGTGCGCCCTTCCCCCACCTGCCACACGCCAACGCCAACGCCGACAAGGGAAGGGGGGATGGGACCGGGCCTGGCTGTGGTTGGGTTGCTGCCCTTCTCGAGTCCAAGACAACCGCCTGCCGTCACAACAACGACAAGGCTACTTCTAGCTAGCTGGTAGAGACATTGTCCTGCGTATGTAGACAACCACCAACCACTCCACTCCACTCCACTCCACTCTCACTCCACTCTCACTCCAAGACAAACACAGACGGTAAAGAGGAGTGCTGTTCGACCCAAGTCCGCCACTTCTCAGACACGCTCCCTCGACAAAGTCATCGAGTGTCACGCAATCGGTCAATCAAAATCAATTTGTCAGACTCTTTTTTCCTCCCGGCCTCAGCTTGGCTCGGTCAATGCCACGGGCTTCGCAGCGGTGACGGGCGATGGTCAGAACTTGCATGGCATTTGCATGGTACTTGTATGTACACTGTATGTACCTAGAGTGCGCCTATCAGTGGGGATCCTTTCAATCACCACGCTAGACATGCACTGGATGCAAAGCCTGGCACCTGGGCACAACGTCCGCTAATTCATCTCGATTCTCCAACCCTCCCCCCCCCCTCCGATCAGAGAGCTTTTATCCCAGCTTTCTTTTTTTTTCTAACTACATGCAGCCAAATTCGTTTCTTATAGTATTCTGTGCAGCGTTTTTCCTGTACGGTTATATTCTTGGGGCCCTCTGCTCCTCACACCATATCCTGGGGTAGTACAGTGACAGTGGAGAGGCCGAACCAACCGGACCACAGGACCCCTCCCTCGCCGCAGCTAAGGCGCAGTCATTGTAGAGTACATGACCAGTCGGTTGAACAAGACACTCCTGCCAGCTTCGCCGCACAGCTGAGACAGGCTCAAGCCCTTGTGCAACCAAGTGCGAGAATGGGGACCATGCACATCGCAATCTTCCCCATCATCACCTCTAAATTTACCCTCCTCTACACTCTACTATGCATCTTGCAGGCTCACTGAGCCAACCCCAATCTACTCTACACCTGGACCATCCGTTCATCCCCCAGCTGCGGCCCGGCACATGGGACGGCCATGACACCCGTTTCGAAACACTTCAACCCACTTCGAGCCTCGCTTCCACGGCTATCAATCCTTCTGCTGACGGGTATATTGGTATGCACATAAGGTTGCCTTGCCGGAGCCCTCTTCATGGCGGGGCAGAGCCGATTCCTGCCATGGCCTGCCTGTATCGACACACGTTGTTATTAATAGCCGGTGAGGGATATGACGCATGCGATATCAGTCCCGAAGAGCGAGGTCCTATACTGCAACTTAAACGCGACCAGCAGACCTGAGCAAGATGGGTACGAATTTGATTGGCCCAGGAAATCAGCATTATAGTTGGTTGGTCGGACTGCTATGTGATGCGTAAGACTTCTCTCTCTCTCTCTCTCTCTCTCTCTCTCTCTCTCTCTCTCTCTCTCTTCTCTCTCTCTCTCTCTTCTCTCTCTCTTTCTCTCTCTCTTTCTCTCTCTTTTTTTCCTCCTCTTCCTCTCTCTACGCGTGGTGGCGACGCAATCAACCGATCAAATACCAAACATAACCGCATGTGGGACCACGACGATCGAGTACAGATGAGCCAAGAGATAGATCAGACTCATATTGCGACACAGTCAGCAGTAAGAACTATCGTGGGCATAATGTCCAACGCGGACACCGAAGTGCCCAATTGCATCGTCTCGCAACGTCATTCAGATAACCCTTGTGCTCAAATGTCCTTGAGATATTTTCTACTTTTGCTTTGATCTACAGGCCGGCAAACGGTCGCGCGATTGTTCTAGGCTAGGGTAGCATGTTGCGCATCGGTGATGAGAAGTTCGTCTCGAATCTTTGGTAATATGTCGGGTACTCGGCGATGAAAGGAGGTGGTCAAACTGGTTCTTTGGTCTGGGAGATTGTAATTCTTTTGACACGCTGGCGAAGAGAGGAGAATGGTTCTTGGCCTATTTGCTGAAATTCAGCAGAGGGCATACAAGCGTTTTGCTTCTTCATCGTCTTGCTCTGGACCACTGCATTGACTAGTTTGGTGAACTTAACCTCGACATCTTTGAACCTCTTTATATCGTTTCTGCAGTTTCACCCACAAATAGTGCTGTGCTAATCCTCCTGCTTATTATGCAGACAGGGATAACCTTGAACAGCTCTTTCATTAATGTAACACATAACAGTGGACAAATAGGCAAAAACACATATTTTGTAAGTTGACAAACAAGACAGCGCAGTGTGATGAAACAAGAATCAAGCTTTCACTGCTAGAAAACCCAGATTATAGCAAAGCCCTCCAAGCTTTACCATCCTCACGCTCAAGCTCCAGATGATCACACAAATGGCCAATATGATCAACACCCCAGAACCCCTCCGTCTCACCCTTTGCATTCGTAGCTAATCCATCACTCTCGTCAGCGCCCCACAGCCAACCAAAACGACAAGAAGACAAACCCCCAACGAATTAAAAAAAAAGAACACTCACCCACAAACCACGGCAACCCAAACGCCCCATCCTTGAACGCCTGCTCTGTATTGGCCACCAACGCCCTCTTCACTTCCTCACTCTGCATCGCCTCTACAATTCGCCGCGCCTCCTCTTCACCCCCAACCACAGTCTTCATCAACGCAAGAATATTCTCCGCCTTATCCGGCTCCCTCCACAACACCCACGTATGCTCCCAGAACAGCGCGACCGCGCTCTCGAGCAGCTCTGGGCGCGCGAGGGCAAGCGACGTCAACGCGCGCTGAATGTGCATTGAGTTGAAGGGGAATTCTGGCGGCGTGGCCTGGGACATGGGGACGTTAAGCTGCGATGCCCAGCGCAGACGGTCCTTGTTGAACCATTGTTTTTTGTCTGGGGGAAAAGAGAGGCGATTTGTCGTTAGGAGAACGTGCATGGCGGATTGGGGGGGTAGGAAATTTGGACAAGGAAACTGAACGTACTTTTTACCATCAAGGGCGGCGTATTGCCGCATAGCTTCATCAATCCGCCTAGCAGGATGGGAACATACGTAATCTCGCACCCTTTGAAGACAGAGGAATTCTGCGTACGCGCATGTTGGTTAGTATGTACGTTGTGTGAGGGTGGGACGCTGGTGGCAGGGGTGCATGTGGTTGGGTTACCCGGAGAGTGTAGAAGGCCATGTAGGCAAAGGGCGAGATGATGTCGACATAGAGCGTAATCTTTGGTGCGGGCATGGCTCTTTAATGGATGGGAATGGCTTTTGGTAGGTCTGTATGTCTAGGAGTTTATAGAATCCATGTCTTGAGGTTGGTGATGGTGCGAGAGTTGACCTGCCTCGTTAGGTACCGGTATGCTACCGAGTAGCCGAGGCCCGGTGAGACCGCGTCGATCAAGCAGGAGTTTTTCGACTTGAAAATACAACTTTTTTGAATACAGGTCTATTTTCTATGCTTTTGGTGTATGCTTTTTACGGTTAGAGATGCAGAACACATGACCGTACTATGGATGGATAGTGCTATGATTTGTTATTTGCCATTACTGCCCGCCATGGAAATTCCTCGCGGAACCCCAGCATATCTCTCAACTTCAAATTACTCATCGGCGCCTCTCTCTTGCCCAATTCCCGCTTAATCGTTACTCCCGGGCACCTCTTCTTCAAGAAGGCCTCTGTGCTCTCCTCTTCATCGTTTGTAATCTCATCGTTGACCGCGTTAAACACTTGGTAGCCAAGCCCATCCTTCTGGATACAGCACTGCACGATATTGCCCAGATCCCTAGCGTCGATGTAGCTCCACGCGTGACACTTCCAGTCCCATGGTTTTTCGGCGTATAGCGTCATCATCTCCGTGTGTTTCTCTGGGGGTACGACGGCGGCGATGCGTAGACTGTAGATGTCGACTCCTGGGAACCGCCGCGCAAAACTGTCCGCGATACGCTCCATGCACAACTTGCTAGTGGCGTAGACGTCCATGGGGGTAGTGGGGGTTTCTTCGGTAAGCGGGAAATGGGGGAAGTCGAGATCGCCGTTTGCGTAGGTTACACCATAGGTGGTGATGCTCGATGCGAGGATAATCTTCTTGATGCCGAGCTTACAAGCTGCTTCTATGACATTATAGGAACCCATGGTGTTTATGCGGAAGCATTCGTTATCCGGAAGGCGATTGGGTTGGGGTATCCCTTGATTGTTGTCAATTCCTTTCATGTCGCTTTTGCCAGGTTTAAAAAAGACTTACCAGCAAAGTGCACAAGTGCATCAGGCGTCTTGGCTGGTTTCCTGAACGGTTCGCTGATCTCAAAGTGACACGACAAGCTGTTGAATGCTTGAGCGCCATCTGTGAGATCCGCTTTCACCGTGTGCACTTTTGAATTGTTGAGCGGCGTTACGTCGACATTAAGAATCTCATGGCCGAATGAAAGTAGCTTGTCGATGACATGTCGGCCTGCTACGCCTGAGCCACCTGTAAACACTATCCTCTTCGCCAATGATTGTGTTTTGGCTGCCATTGCAAGGAGCTGTAGATTAGCGAAAGGGTGGCGCAGCTATAATATGCAATGCTCTTATTTGATCCGGTGTAGCTTAGGACACCAATTAGTTTCCTGGCTGACGTTTATGAGAGCAAGTTTCAAAAAAGAGCTCCAAGAGTGTGTCTGCTTAGGGTTGTACGTGTAACTTTTAAGCGGCGCTTTCCCCGCATAGCTCCGGAGCTTATCCCGTGTACGTTCGCTCTCTTGCCGATAGCTTGCATCATGCACTCATGTAAATGAATAAAATTGCACATGGAGTGTTGGGACAAAAAATTGAAAGCAGAGGCATTCATACCGTCAATGGTACATTTTTCGTGTCTTATCGTTAGCGGCCTCGTCATTCCTGCCGTTGCGGGCGCCTACTTGATCGTGATTTACAGCTCTCCAGACTCCAGCTACAGCTCTCCAACCAGCTTCTACAAACTAAACCGTTTGCGTACCATACCCTCTAATCCTATCTGCGAACGCCCAGCTCTGATTTTCCAGCTTCACGTCCTCGTCAAGCTCAACGCCCTCCTTGGTAACGACGGCGATTGAGTACTTGTCCATACTCCTGGCATCTCTGTAGAAGAGCACCTTCATGCACTCTTTGATCTTTTCCACTGCTTGCTCCTTGGTGACTTTTGCAACTGCAGCCTCGTCTGGCAATATCGTCCTCAAAATGGGCTGGGCGAGATGCGCTCCGAAACCGGTAGCGAGGGAGGGGGATGAGAACGTGGTACCGAGCAGATCTGCGCTGGCAAGGAAAGGCTTCGACTCGCCGTCCATACCAACGATGAGCAGGTGATTCCACAGAGGGTCGAACTTGGACCGGCGGTTGTACATGACCTTGGCAAGGTATGTGTGGAGGTTCTTTGCGTTGAGTTGCGACTCGCTTGAGGAGTAATTCTCGCGGATGTCGAGCGAGTTAAGCAGGCGGTCCAGGTACTGCATGTCCGATACATCGCCACCGAAGCCTACGACTACCTCATCGTTGAATTTCCGTAGACGTTTGACGTCGGTGAAGCGGGCGAGCGATCCGTATGAAGCTGAGATGTTTGATTAGCCTCAGAAACTTTGCAAGTTCATGTCTGTATCTGTCGCCATACCCAGGTTGTCTGCAGCAATGACCACACCATCGTTGAACTTGGCCGCAAGCACTGAGGTACCGGTCACAATCGGGCTCTGGGTATGCTGGTTTGGGCCGGCAGCATTGAAGTGTGATGGATCATAAGCGCCGTATACATCGTCTCTAGGCTGCACTATGCTTAGTTTGCTGCTGTGAGAGGTAGGCGAGATACATACGCGGCCCCACGCCTGAGGTAGGTGGTTCATGTTAACGGTGGAGATGCTAGTGGCGTATGGAGCTTGCAGTTGGAGGAGAAGAGGGAAATGGAAGCACTGTATGAAGTGGGAGGGCGAAGTGGCACGTCCAGGCGTGAAGTCGGGCTTGCGGTGATGGTGGAGCAGGCAGTCGGTGTTGCGCAGCTCACCCACCGCCAAGACATGTTTGGCCCAAGCTCTATTGCTCTCACCATGTCGCAGATACCTTTACAAGCAAAGAGCCACCAAAATGCTCGGTATCGACTACCCAAGTAGTGATGAAGATGAGGCTGCGCCCGATTCAAAGTCAGAGGTGAGGCTCATAATTGTGTAGGAAGGACTCTGATAGCTACTAATATCAAGTTGATCAACATTGCCAATGCGAATGCGAATGCGCCTGCGACAAAGACTCCTCCCAAACCTGTACCAATTCCACAGGTGCCAGCGGCTTCTGCTCCAATAAGCGGTCCGTCACAAGGTCCTACAGTCTCGCCTCCTCCTACCGATGACAATGGGCCAGACCACGCTGCTCCCTCCAACACCTCGACCCGCGCCGTTATCCAGAACCTCACATTGCCTACCGTACCTAAGTTCGACATACCAGCCTCACCACCTGGATCACCTCCACTCAAAGCCACAAAGAAGTTTACGCAGTTCTTAGACCTTAAGCAGAAGGGACAGCACTTCAATCAGCGATTGGAGGGCTCGTCAGTCCTGCGAGACCCTGGACACTTGCAGAGACTGATGGACTTTGCGAGCATCAGCGAAGAAGACTCGTATGCAACTACGCTATCAGATGAGGTTGCGATTCCCGTTGCTTTCCCTAAGTGGGCTTATGTAGAGGAATTGAGAGCGTCACAAAAGGGCATTTTGAAAGCCAGAGAACAGGGCAAGAACAGGGTACCGCGAGACGCCGTCGAATTCGTCTCGGCAACAAAGTCTGGGACGTCAAGTGGCACAGGTACGCCTGCTGGGAAAGGCACACAACAACAGAGTAGTGCTGAGAGAGTCATGGGGAGTATAGACAAGGAGGCGCCCAATCTGTCGAGTTCTCAGACTACAAGCAAAAGAAAGCAATTGGAATACCGATGCAGGGATGAGTCTTCTGTAAGAAATGGATGGAATGGTAGGCCACGGTCGCCGAAGAGAAGACGCTCCAGGTCGAGAGATGGAAGGGGGTGACACCAAGGCAAAGTAGCGATTGTTGGGTAGTCTCCTTAGGCAGTTACTCGCTGCTGAATATCGCCGTGCTATCTAGACACATGATCTGAATTGATAGACGCGCCCATGCCAAAATACACAGCTCGATGCAACATATTCTGCTCTTCGATATCATTGTAATGTGCCCTACGTCACTTGCACCATGCTACAAATATGTCACATCCTGGACAATGCCAAGATAAGTTGAGGTGTGGGTGGTCCATGCTCCACCAGGCAATCGTACTCCGCGTAACCTCCGAGCTTCACATCATCAAGGCCAAACACAGCAGCCGCTTTGCCTCACTCATAACCTCCTCGAAGAAAGCCTTTCCCTGCCTGTGCCTTTCGACCGCTTCAGCAAGCATTGAACCTGAATTGCGGAGCTTCTAACGACACCATGGCAGCGCTTTACACAGGTGCACCCCCGCAAGGTGGCCCAGGCTATTCGTTCAAGCAGACCCCCACAACCGTACCATCAGGCGAGAGGCAACATGGCTTCTACCCGTAGGCCGTCCTCAAGCTTCTGACAAGACATGCTGTAGCTGACATTGCAAAAGCTACACCGACAACGGCGGCTCCACATTAGGTATTGCGGGCCAGGACTTTGCCATCCTCGCCGGCGACACACGCTCCACTTCGGGCTACAACATCAACACGCGGTACGCACCGAAGCTCTTCAAGATCGGTGGTGAGGGGTCAGACAACAAGGATGCCAGGATAGTATTGTCGGTGGTGGGCTTCGCAGCCGACGGCGATGCGCTCAAGGAGCGGCTCGACACCATTGTCAAGATGTACAAGTACCAGCACGGAAAGCCCATGTCTGTGTCGGCATGCGCACAACGTCTCAGCCACATTCTCTACAACAAGCGATTCTTCCCCTATTACGTGCACGCCATCCTGGCTGGCCTGGACGAGGAAGGCAAGGGCGCGTTGTACTCGTACGACCCGGTTGGCAGCTACGAGAGGGAGCAGTGCAGAGCGGCTGGTGCGGCTTCGTCACTCATCATGCCTTTCCTCGATAACCAGGTCAACTTCAAGAACATGTACGAGCCTGGCAGCGGAGTCGGACACGAGCTAAAGGCAAAGCAAGCGGAGCCGCTACCCCAGGACCACGTCGAGGACCTGGTACGAGACGCCTTCACGAGCGCAGTTGAGAGGCACATCGAGGTCGGTGATGGTCTACAAATGATGACCATTACGAGCGAGGGCATCAGAGAGAGCTACACACCACTCAAGAGGGATTAAATAAGAAGGGGGCGGCCGGTCGGGGAGCAATGTCTTGACGAGCCCAACGACTTTTTTGCAGAACCAAACTTCTCATAACCTGAAATGTTCCCCATCATGGGCATTGCCCGTTTCACAAGCCAGCTCATCTGGCCTGGTTTCAGTCTCCAATCAATAAGCATTCAAGAAACACTATTTCACGCTTCCCTTCTCACCCCCAATCACGGTCACTTTGCTACTTTCATTCCCCCATCCGCCCCTTTTCGCTCACTCCTGATATACTCTTGCTACGCGGCAAGCCATCTCAGAAGCTGTCAAAATACACAAATCGCCCAGACATCTCTACCTCACTTGTTCCCTTGGCCGTTTTAGGTGCATGGTACATGTCTCGTGAAACCCCCCATGATGATGATTCCCAGACCTCCTCGATGCCGATTCGCCAGCGCTCTTGTAGTTCGGATCACAACAATAAGAAGAGACGGCGAGTGACGTGATGACTTGAACGTTAATGTACTTGTCTAAACGGGTATTCCACCTTATCGCCAATCATTGCTCAGTAAGCCCAATGTAATGATTGATTCCCACACCACCATCACCACCGATACATATTGACCCCCTAAATCTAGTACTTCTTCTCAATAAGGTCAGGTATATCCTCTGGCTTGTTCTTGCCCTCTAGAATGTTGTAAACCGCCGTGAACAAGGGAAAGTCCTTTTCCATGCCCTGGGCTTTCAGAAACTCATTGACTTCGTAGGCGGTGCTCGTACCTTGTAGCTTCTGGCCATTGAGCTCAGACTGCTCAATCTCGTAGATGGTCTTGCCTCGCTCAATAGCCATCTTGGCGCAACGAAAGTTGCGGCCACCCATGCATGAAGTAACGACATCTGCGACACCGCAGCTCTCCTCTGTGAAAGTGCTTGTGCGTGCGCTCTCGCCAAAGAAGGCTTTTCCAAACTTGACCATCTCCAGGATACCAACACGCATGACGGCGGCTTTGGCATTGTCGCCCCATCCTAGTCCATCTACGAAACCAGCAGCCAGGGCGATGATGTTCTTCAAAGCCCCCCCTAGCGAGACACCGGCGACATCATTGACCAAATGTACGTGGAAGTAGGGGCGATGGAAGAGCTTGCGAACATTCTCGTGCGAGAGAGCCGGATACTCGGTTGGCAGAGGCGTAAGATGCGCTGATCTTGGGCCAGGATTGACCTTGCTAGGATTGATGAGGTCAACCTGCGAAGCGTTTGGCGAACCGCTGGGTGTAGGGTTGCGCGAATCCATGGGCGGAGGGTCATAGGCAACCGTTGTCTCCGAGTACTTTTCCTGGGCAATCTCGGAAGCAATGTTGGCTCCTGATAAGGCACCACAGTAGATGTTCAGAGTCATGCCAATCGTCTCCGACATCAACCGGATACCCTTTTCGCTGACATCCACACCCTTTGTGCAGCAAATCGCCCGTGCATATGGGAGAATCTTGCCAACCAGTTGCTGGCTGCTTCGGGCAATAAACTGATGTGGGAGTACAAAGATGAGTATTGTGGAGTTTTTGCAGGAGTCAGGGAGGTCGGGATTGGCAATGACGTTGGGAGGCAGTGTAATGTTGGGCAGGTATTTGACGTTCTCGTGGACTTTGTTGATGAGCTCAGACAGTTTTTGAGGCTGATCTGAGCCATTGTAGTGCTGCGACTCCTTGGGTATGGTCACCTCCTCCTCATACACCCACATTTGTACATGTTCCTCGAATAGACCTGGGTTTTCCTTGACATTTTCCGCAACAAGCTTGGCCATCGTGGTGCCCCTGCGTACATTACATTAGTCTGTGCATACAATTGGCCTCGGGACTCCTCCAGAGCCAGGATGCGGGCGGGCATGGTCTGGACTTGGGAGGACACTACATCAGGAATACGGGCTTACCAATTGCCTGAGCCGACCACGGTCACCTTGTGCTTACGCCCAGCACTGAGCGTCGCCATTGTTCTTGCTGTTAGCTTTCGGGTTTGGGATATTGGGTGGTACGTGTTGAGAAGAGCGGACAGAGGCAGAAGAGGTGGGGTTTGGCGGCGGCGACTAGCTTTGACGTAACAAGTCCGTGGGAAAGGCACGCTGGATAGCGATTTGGCGAGTCTGGATAACGCCAGCTTATGTATCTTTCACTTTCTGAGTCTGATTTAGCTCACTTTTTAGATTTATGCTGTAGCCACACCGCGGCCCATGACTGCACACCTATGGTAACCAACGCATCTGTGTGCAATGAGGAATGGCCTCGGCTTCTTGTGACTCGGTGTGGCCGAGAACTTGAACGGCCAAGTCGGAGGCGATCGATGCAGAGTGAGAGGGAATACGGATTGCTTACACTGCGCGCACGCGAGAGAGAGAGGGGGGGGGAGGGGGGAGATATAAGGGGGAGAGAAAGGAAAGTTTTTGGTGGACGCGTGAAGATGACGGGCAGGAAGGTTGTAGAATGCACCTGCAGGTAAGCTGTAACTGTGGGAAACCATCTCAGAATGCGATCCTTATCTGGCAAGGGCAACCTGGAAGCTTATCGATTATGCACCTCGACGGCTGGCGCGACCGACCTGCACAAATCCTTGGGTTCGTGTCGTCGATCCACGCTGCAGCTAGCATTGGCCAATGGAAGAGAGAGGGTGACCAAAAGTCAAAACTGGTCAGTCCATGGGTCCCGACTGGGACCTCTGGGTGACATCTGGGCGAGGTACCAAGCAAGGCATGCGATTATACTACAGCAGAGTACACTATGATAAGTCACAGCTTGACGACTTGATACAAGCCTGGTTGTTGCTCATCATGGCCAACCAAGCCTGGCCAACCCGTTCCAAGGGCACGCGGCGCAGCACCCGGGAAATCCACAGGCTCCTGTTCAAGTCCAGGGGGCACACAGTTTCAAATCATCAGGGACACAGCGTCGGGAAAATTGGTGATAGTATTGGGGTATTGCAAGTCGTGTATCCATCGTAACATCGCATTAAGTCTCCGTCTCGTTCTCTCATTCCCCATACTTGCGCAGGAATGGGCTGATCGAGGCATGCATTAAGGCGACACCAATGCTAAAGAAACGCCGAAGAGACTAAGCAATCTTCAAAGGTATGCCATGCCGCGATGCTAATATCCGTGACGCACATCTATCCATCTGGCCGTCCAACAGGAACCGGCCCGCCCGCTGCCACACTCCACACTGGCCATCCTCCGCTTACAAGATGAAGCCGAAGAGGGCGAGCAGACCACCGGCAAGCGCAGGCGTTCCGTACACGGCGAGGTTGGCAGCACCACCAGCAGCCGTCGTGGTAGCCGCGGCACCACCACTACCGCTTGGCGAGGGAGTGGCGCCGCCATTCGAGCTTTGCGTGGCCGAAGGAGAGGCTGACGAAGAACCGCCGCCGTTGCTGCCACCCGAGCTTGCGCCATCGGTTGTCCGGTTACCGCACTCGGCCTCGCGCGTTGACACACAGCTGCGCTGGGCGGTAGCGTCGCTTCCGGAGGCACTGATGCAGGCATCGAACCAGAAGTTCTGGCACATGAGACCGGCGACAGACTGCTGGTAGTCTGCGAGGTTTGCCGTGATATCCGTGCCGTTGGCACACCGGCAGCTGGTCTCGAGCGTATCCTACTGCTGGTGAGTAAAGGGTGGTCAGAGGAAGGGGGGCAGAGGGCAGGGCGAGCTTACATCGTCGCACTCGTTGCCATTGCTGGCGATGTTGCCCAGACCGCCGCAGAGCTCGACGCAGGTGTTCTCGTTGGCGTTGCACATGGTCGCGCGTTCCTCCTCGGGAATCTGCGTGGCAGGGAGGGAGCAGCAGGGAATGGGCGTGTTGCTGTTGTTCTGGGCGGCGGCGAAGCCGACAAAGGCCGAAGCCGCGACCATGATGGTGGAGTAGAGCATGGTTGATGGTGTAGAGTATCAATGCCTATGTAGCGAGAGAGAGGTTGAGAGTGGTCAGCGGGAGATCGGTAACGTGTACGCTGGCGTACACAAGTACGAGAGTAGGGATGGGGACGGTGGAGAGAGCGGTGGCGCGCAATGGCAGCTGCGGCGTGCGCAGTGTGGAGAATGGAGGGCGAGGGCGGAACTTACAGCGTGATGTTATGCTGGGTGTTTGGTGGAGCGGTGGGAGGAGTGCGGGTGGTTGCTGGGGAGGGCAAAGATATATGGTTTCCTGCACGGCCGCTAGGACAACAAACGCCAATCGCGCTTGCTCTCAATCCAGCTTAATGCAACAGACGTCGAGATACGCTCAGACACAGCGGAAAGTGAAATGCGCCAGGGCCGTTCTTACAGATTCTGGGGAGGGAAATGAGCAATTTGTGCACCCATCAGACTCTCCGCCTGCGCCCCCCAGCCCCCCCATGGCTCCTCTGACACTGCTGGCGCTGGCCATGGGCTTGCATTGCACTGTATTTGAATACCTAGCCCCATACACATGTGACCCATTCCAAGTTGCGCCGAAAATGTTTCAGCAGAAAACAGTCCCCAAACCGGGCCACGCGTCCAAGGGTCGCATACATACAGTAGGTAGGAGTACGTACATGGTAAGAGTAGGTACAGTAGGCACATGGGCAGGAAAACAGGATCTCGCCCAGCGTGCAGCGCAGTGCAGCAACGACGCTGTTAGCCGGGCCGCTCTTCGTGCCGCTAGCCGACCAGCGGCCCTCTTAACGGACGAGTCTTTGAGGAGGATGGTGCATAGAGAGTACATGGCCCATGGCTAAAGGCTACGGAGGGTAGGTAGGGATTCTCTGGTGTGCGGCTGGTTGGCTGTAGCATTCCAAGGCCGCGACAGCCAAGTCATGTCGCGCGCAGGCCAGTCCTTGTTTTTTTTTTTTTAGGCAACTTTGCAGGCTGCTTGCTCCATCCCAGGCTACTGTACTCTAGAGTAGAGGAAGGGTATCAGTTTCCACCGGAGTCTCTGGTACTACCCGTTGGCTGACCGAAGGCTGGCGAAGGCTGGCGAAGGCTGCTGTCGAATGCCTGCCCGCGTTCCTTGAACTGCCTTCTGCTGCCAATGCCCGACCCAATCGCTTCCTGGCCGTGCGCTCTTCTCACCCAAATTCCCATGGAAACCCCCAGCCACTGACAGCCCCGGATGTCCCAGGCAGGCCCCTGCATAGCGCCGCCAGATGCAGACAAGCGTGCAACGGGCCTCGGGAGCTCCAATGCGCCCAGTGGCTGCCCAGGTGCACCGTGCACTGCATCCCCACTCGGCAGACCAGCATCCGCAGTCACCGGCTACTTCCTGTGGTGTTCCTATATCAGCATTGTGCTGTCAGTCTGACGCCTACTACTATTCTCTACATGACCATACTGATACGGTAGCGTACAGTCTACCGTATCTACAGTAAGTCACCACAAGATAGAAGGTACAGTACCACACTACCTCACAACAACAACAACAACAACAACAACAACAACAACAACAACAACAACAACAACAACAACAACAACAACAACAACCAGTAGGTGGAGAGTGGCAGCCCGCTTTGGCCTACGCAATCCACATGGCTAGACGGTATTACGGTTAGCCTGGTAATCGGTCGAGTAGTGGCCGTCGCTGCAATGGTTCAACGGCTGTCCCAGCCCCAATCGATTCCCATCGATACGCTAGCAGATGAACGAGTCGACATCCCTTTGATCCTCGCACTAGCACTTACCTGTTGGCAGTCACAATCAAGATATTGCGCCTCCCCCTCCCCTCAACTTCGCTTCCCCACACTGATGAGCCCCTCCAGCGAAAGTCGCCCACCACCGCAACAGTCGACTGCGCCACTTTTTCCGACCGATAAGCTTGCCTAACACGCGAGATGGTAAGACTACACAACTTACCCTTGAACACAAGCTAGGCCAGCCAGGCCTAGCACTCTGATTCAAAGCCACGGCCTACCTCGTCTACACTCAAACTGGCATATGCCTTCCACCATCTGGCTAGTCAACTCTGACAGGAGTATGTACGCCGCAAGGAGTCTGACGCAGTACTGTGGAGTTGTACTGTTTATTGACGGTTTTTACGCACTGATGGGAAGAGGATCACTTCGCAGCAACACAAGTCATGGGCGCCTCACATCACCGATACAATGAAAGATCGAAATACACCTATTTCATGGTCCACTCAAGGCACTCTTAGCATCCATGCTCACAAACATGATAAACGCCCAGACTTCTACAAAGAGATTGTAGACAAAATTTTAGGTAAACATAGTGTGGCGCTACTTCCCCCCAGCAGAGAAAGAGACCATAACAGCTGGGTGGATACGTGAAGTAGCCACCACTATCCTAGATCGTCAACCCGCTCTTGTGGTAAGTTTAGTGGGCCTTTCTAGAAGCAAGATATTGATAGATCTTACAGTTACAACCCTCTTCGCGCAGAACGTGTGTTTTTGGTCCCCATGTACCGCAGACTGAGCGTCCCAAATACCTCCTCCATTAACTCAGTGCAACATCTTCATCGCCAACGGGTATCGGCTACAATAATATGGGCATGGAGTCTGTATCACACTTCCAGCTTGGCTTCCATGCCATATATGCATTCAACAATGGCAAGGTACCCGAGCTATCTCTCGAGGATATGGACAGTTTTCCCTACTCTCCCATACCACAGTGGTTTCGCTCTCGCGCATCGCTTGCCAGTGCTGTCCGAGGCCGTTTGTGCGTGGATCAGCAGAGACCGCATATACTCCCTCCATTGGTATGCTGCTAATCTATGAGGACTGTGAGAAAGTGCTGGGACAATGGAGATATGACAAAGACCTCAAAGACATCGCATTGGGGTCGTTGTTTCTGTTCGCCGGTCAAACTACAATTGGCCCATATATGAAAATAAAAGATAGCAGTGAGCCAAATGGGGCGTGGTACGAATTCGGTGGAAGCGAACAGATAACATGGTGGTTTACGTCGGAATGTGCTATGCTGGAACTTCATACCTGCGTGGAACGAGACGAAAGAGCTCGAACAGTAGTACCGGTACGGTACAGGCTAGCGCCCTGGCATTTGCTCTCCTATGAGCTGAGCCCTTCCTTTGAGCGTGGATTGCAAACTTCTTTACACATTTCTTCATTTATTACAAGTTCTGCTAACGAAGTAAATATAAGAGAGTAAGCCTTGTGATGCATCTGGCGTTGAGTTGCGATGTGCAACTGCTAGGTAGCCGCAGGTTCCAGTGGTCTAGATGATGTCACGACTTAGTTCCATACCTTGCATCGACTTTGCATAGCCATAAACAACATGTGCTACAAAACAGATAGTCTCACACTCTTCCTTAACGACCGGCTTACTATTCCACAGATGGTATCAAGATGCAGAATAACTACTTCGTCTGTACGCTTGGCCACGCCACAGCTCTGAGTAGCGGAACGAAACCATATCGCACAATTAGCGAGTTTGTCCGCCACCAAGCGCAGAATCATCCGCAACTCCCAGCGGTAGGATTCGCTGTTCCCAAAACCAGCCCGGAAGAATGGGATCAGAAGGTTCTTACCTTTACCGATGTCGAAAAAGGTTCAAAATTCTTTGCCCTACGACTTTCAGAGGTTCTGATCACGCCCCAAAAGTCCGAGACGATAGCCTTGCTATGTCATAGTTCCCCTGAATTTCTCTTCACCTGGCTGGCTCTGATGAGATTAGGGCATTCCGTTCTCCTGATAGCACCACAATGTCAGCCAGCTGCAATCGTGCACCTTTGCATGACTTGCAAGGTCTCTGTGCTATTCCACGACATTGCTCATACAGAAAAAGCGCTACAGACTAGTAAGTATGCGCAAGAGCAAGGACAAATGGAGTTGATGCCTCAATCACTCCCATTAGCTCAAGATGAAAGCATCTTCGATGTGATCTCAGAAGCCCCCCACCGTAGCGTCGAACCACTTCTTGGTGACGAGAAGGCTACTGCATACCTACACCACACCTCGGGAACCTCTTCAGGGCTACCAAAGCCAATACCGCAGTCCCATGCTGGAGCCATTGGCGTTCTCCCAAGCATTCCCAAATTACCGGCGGTAGCTTCATTCACTACCACACCCTTGTACCATGGTGGTATTGCCGATCTGTTCAGGTGCTGGACTAGCAATGCTATGATCTGGCTCTTTCCAAGCAAGGACGTTCCAATCACCGCTCGAAACATTTGCAAGTGCCTGGATGTCGCAAGGGCATACTCTAGTATGGAAGGACTGCCTCAGGTCAAGTATTTCTCTTCGGTGCCATATATCCTTCAGATGATGGAGACGGATGACACTGGCCTGAAAATGCTTCAATACATGGACATAGTTGGTGTCGGAGGTGCCGCATTACCAGCAGATGTCGGAAATCATCTCGTTCAAGAGGGCGTCAAACTCATCTCAAGGTTCGGTAGTGCGGAGTGTGGCTTCTTGCTATCATCCTATCGAGACTTTTCCACAGATAAAGACTGGCAATATTTGCGGAACTATAACCCAGAGAATTTACTAAAGTTTGAGCCGCGGGAAGACGGATTATCAGAACTCGTCATCAAGCCAGGTTGGCCGCATATGGTTTGTTCATGCTTGCAAAAACGACGTACACAGCTGAATACTAATGGGAAATAGGCAAAAACGAACCGGCCGGATGGATCATTTGCCACAGCTGACTTGTTTGTACTGCACCCTTCTATCAAGGACGCCTGGATGTATCACTCGCGAGCTGATTCGCAACTCACTTTAATTACCGGCAAGAAGTTCGATCCGGCACCCTTGGAAGACGCATTGTCAACCTCTCCTCTCCTAGACGATGTGCTCATCTTTGGTAATAACCATCCATTTCCGGGTGCACTTCTATTCCGATCTGCACAGTCCAGTGACATCTCGAACGAAGATCTCTTGCATGCAGTCCAACCAACGTTGGAGAGGCTGAACGGTGAAAGCCAGGATCATGCACGAATACCGTTTACTATGCTCGTACCGGTGGCACACCAGACCACGCCACTCGAAAAGAGCAGCAAAGGGACCATAATTCGGAGGGCGGCAGAGGCTCGATTCGAGAAACTCATCAACGGGGCATACGACCATCAAGACAGGATTGAGGAAATGTATGTCTCTGATGAGGAGCTACCTCAATATCTTACAAAGCTCATTCAGATCATGACGGGGAAATCTCAAGAGTTAGATGAACATGTGGACCTGTTCTCTTATGGCGTGGATTCCATTGCATGTATGCAGTTGAGGGATCGGTTGAGACGACTGATACCGAACTACCAGGGCGACTTGCCCATGAGCATTGTTGAAGACTGTGGTACTACAGGCCGGCTCACAGACTTCATTCTCCGCAAACGCCATGGTAAGTCTGACGATGGTGTAGAAGACGAAGATCAATTGATGCTGGATCTGGTTGAAGAATTCGGCGTTTTCGAGCGACAAGCCCCTCGTGATCCGGGTTCGAATACGACATCAACGAGTAGTACTGGACAGGTTGTCGTGCTCACCGGAGCTTCTGGTGCACTGGGAGGATGCATCTTAGATTTGCTTCAGAAGCAAACAGACGTGTGCAGTGTCTACTGCCTGGTCAGAGGAGCGGATGAACATGCAGCAAGGGAGCGGGTCAATAAGTCGCTAGAGCAGAAAGGTTTAGTGAGCCTGACGTCCAGTGACAAAGTCAAAGTTGTTCCAGCGCAGTTGAGTGAAGAGCGATTAGGTCTCAGCGAGGACATGTATAATTGCTTGGCCAGGGAAGCAACCTCCATCATTCACGTTGCGTGGACGGTCAACTTCCGCTTGAGACTACGAAGTTTCATCCAAGACAACATAGCAGGGGTGAAGAACTTGCTTGAATTGGCTCTGCAATCGCCACGAGCCCAACGCCCTCGCTTCACGTACTGCTCATCCACCGCTGCTATCATGAATGGCCCGCTCGACTCAAGCAGTCAACTTGCAGAGAAGCTATTTTCCAATCCATCTGTTGCTTCACCGTTGGGGTACTCTCGCTCGAAATGGGTGGCAGAGCACATATGCCTCCAAGCCCACGAGCGGACCAGTCTCCACGGTCGGATAGCCGTTGTCCGGGTCGGACAGCTTGCTGGAGATTCAAGACGGGGGGTGTGGAACACGAAAGAGGCGTGGCCTATGATGCTGAGTACTGCGCGATTGATTGGATGCTTGCCTGATCTGGGTGACGAACCACTGGATTGGCTGCCCGTAGACGTCGCTGCTCAAGCCTTTCTCCAGGCTACGCAAGCTGACGCGGAGAAGAGGAGTGGTGAGCTGCCGGTGTACCATGTGCTCAACCCTCACCGTCAGCCCACCTGGCGCGAAATGTTACCGTGGTTGCAGAAGAAGGAGGGGTTTGAGGTTGTGAGTCCAAAGGAATGGGTCAAGAGGCTGGAAGCAACAGACAAGACTGAGCATCCGGCGCTAAAATTGCTGGGGCTATGGAAGGAGTCCTACGGCAGACAGACATCGCAGCCGCCTTCAGCGCGGCCCCTCTTCTCGCTCGAGGAGACGGGCAAGAATGTGCTGGCTCTGAGAGACGTGAAGCCGGTCGATGAAGCGTATACAGGTAGGGTCTGGGACTGGATACAGGAAAATGTACGCTAGAGAGAGGAACATGTGCCTACACTAAAGTAGATTGGAATCTTACTTGGGCTTGTATTTGAAGTCACTTTGAACCAGTAGATTTACGCAATACGTCGTAGTCAATGGTAGGCATTGATTTCTCATGAGTGCTGATCCCTGTTCCACCCGACGACGGCGTGAGTTGGGAGCTGTCCATTGCTCCGCCAACGCCGACACCGATGACTACCGTACCGGTATGGTATCCTAGGCATGGCACCTTTGTTGGTGGAGAGCTGCGACTGAGTCTGACTACATATGCGAGTTGAGCATGTGAGGGTTCTGCTTGAGTACAGGTGGCTTTCATGACCGGTTTACCAAGCTTGACTCTAACTCGAGTCTGCGAAATGTTGTTATGCGATGTGATTGATGTCACATTCATGAATCACGTGGTTTGTGGGGCATCGTGTTGTGTGTACCGGTAACAGATGGGCAGAGAAATCATCAAAACACCCAGGGATTCCATGATTCTCTAGATGCGCATTGATGGAGAGAGTTTTGTCCATGAAGGTAGGGGCATCCACTTGTCGCAGCTCAGATGACTACCTATGTCCTATCTCGCCCACTGCCAAGTCTGTCCAACGCGACCTCCGAGACTTCAGCTCGAAGCAGGCGAGGTGAAGGTGGAGCGCGGGCCGGACTCTTCCGATCTCCGATAGGCATACCGTATTGTACCGGCATCTGTGCATGCCACAGTACTTGTACCGGTAGTTGATACTACTACGATCAATGGTGGTAGAGTAGTACTAGGGAGGGTTTGTACAGGGTGCAAGTACTGATCAGGATATAAGTACCCATGTACTCGACATGGTCTCGGCTAAGGGTGCGAATACGGCGAATACGGTCTGACGAGCTCCAGATCACGGCCGCCAGATCATGAGGGGTGACTGTACTTACTTACGGGTGTAGAGTAGTAGTAGAGTACAACACGGCCGACTTGTACGAGTCAGAGCAAGAAGAGCAAAGCAAGATGGATCCATCTATTTCCACGGCCAGCTCTGGGCCCGCAATGCCAAGCTTTCGCTTTTGCTCCTCTCTCCTCCAGGCTTGTTTCAGGCAGCCAGCCAGCAACTGTTGAGCCACTGCGATTGCAATAGATTTCGTATTGGTCAACAGTATCTACCCGTACCGGTAAGCGATGAGGGGGGGGGGGGGGGGGATACGGTAAGATGGCAGCGCAGAATGATCCCAAAGTGGGACCATGGAGCAGTCAATGAAGCCATGTCTCCTGGGGAACGCTCATGGGATTGCCTCTGCTCGGGGCGCGCGGACCCCGAGCCCGCCTTGAAACCTCTTATCCACCTACTCTTGATGCGGTCGGTGTGGCTGTCCTCCCGTGTCTTGTCCTGTCCTGTCTTGTTCTTGCTCTGACTGGAGGATAGACAAGACGCATGCACACTGTACATAGCGGTGGTAGAGTAGGCATGCTGGCTCTTGACCACAGGTGCAAGTTGCGCAACCATCGGCCATTTGCGTGACCAGGTCAAGGATACAATCTTGTCTCTCTCCCACCAGGCTGCCACAATCACCCTCGCTTACCGTGCCGTACCCTAACTCGCGTGCGGACGAAAAAGCATAGGCGATCCTGCATCCTAGCTACCCATGGATGGATGCAGGCAAGCCGCATCACGATCCCCGGCGCTTGGTCTTGCGCTGTGCGAACAAAGGAGACTCATCTAGTCAACCCGCACCCTACACTCGATGCTGACCAGAGCCGTGGACCTAAGCAGAGAAGGGAAGGGAAGGGAAGGGGGGGGGGCATGGATGCTTGGGACGCCCGTTGTTGCCTTGCTGAGCTTGCATCCACTCAAGTCCTCATTCCGTCTTTTTTCGAGAATATGCCACACTCACCCTCACCCTCACTCTCACTCCCTTTTTCCAAATTTTCACGCCTTTGCTTATAGGGCGGACATCCCCCACCCTCCCCTCTCTTTTCGCAGTTTGTGCCACTCTCGTCTATTCACGCCTTCCCACCGAGCCCACGAGCAACCGTCATCGGTCTGTACCGGTACCCAACTGCCAGGTTACTACCGATAGCGCCACACCTTCTCCGGCAGCCTACTAGCTGTCTCTCTCTACGGTACCTGCCAGATGGGTGAGCCAAACAACCAGCTTCGGCCCTCCAGCATGGCCGACTCGGAAAGGACAGCGACCCAGAGCGCTGCGCCGTCTGTCGACGAGAAAAAGGGCGTCGCAGAGACGGTCATGCCTCCCGTCGCTGGCCTGCCAGCAGAGGCTACGGAACCAATCACAGGTACAGCAGAAAAGGGTGCTGTGGTAGGCGAGCACCATGTACCGCGCGATTCGATATCAAAACGCGATTCCACCGATGCAGCTACTGCTGCTGCTGCTGCTGCTGCTGCTGCTACTACTACTACTGAAGAAGACGACTTTGTCTACCCGGCCAAATGGAAGTTGGCAGCTATCACGATTGCCTTGTGTTTGTCGGTGTTCTGTATGGCTTTGGTGAGTCCAGTCCGTCTGCAAGTCTGCACCATGCAATCCAACAATGGTCCCCTAGAGCTCGTCTAGAGACCTATAATAGTCATGGTAGTAGTACATTAGACGACATCAGCATGAAAAGGCCCGATGGTTTTTATACACATGTGCAAGGACCATTCACGCACAATCACCATCCATGCGATTCCAGACTAACAAGACCTCACAGGACAACACTATTATTGCCACTGCAATTCCCCGCATTACAGATGAGTTCAAAGCTCTCAATGATGTCGGCTGGTATGGATCTTCATACCTCCTCACCACCTGCGCCACACAACTCATATACGGGAAGTTCTATTCATTTTATAGTATAAAATGGGTCTACCTGACTGCCCTCTCCATCTTTGAGCTTGGCTCGTTGATTTGCGGTGTTGCGCCAAATTCGACTGCTCTGATTATTGGTCGTGCGATTGCTGGTGTTGGTGCGGCCGGCGTTTTTAGTGGAGCCATTTTGATCGTGTCCGTCACGGTACCACTACGACAACGTCCTACCTACATGGTGAGCATTACTTGAGCTCATTCCTCTACCAGATGGGTTGAACTGACGTTGGAATAGGGTCTCATCGGCGGCATGTATGGTATTGCATCCGTGGCGGGCCGTAAGTGGATCCCTCCGAAGACTGCATCCGGGCATCCGGTACTAACATTTGCTTAGCATTAATGGGCGGCGCATTCACAGATCATCTAACCTGGCGGTGGTGTTTCTACATCAATCTACCGTTTGGTGCTGTCACTGCCGGCTTCATCCTCCTCTTCTTCCAGATCAGTCGCCGTGAGAAGAAGTCTGAGGCTACGCTCAAGGAGCAGATCAAGAAGTTTGACCTCGAAGGCACTTCGCTGTTTCTGCCAGCCATCATCTGCCTCTTGCTCGCTCTGCAATGGGGTGGCAGCACCTATGCGTGGAATAGTGGCCGCGTGGTTGCCCTTTTGGTCCTTGCTGGCCTGTTGATTATAGGGTTCATTGCCATTCAGTGGTGGAAACAGGAAGACGCCACGGTTCCTCCCCGCATCTTCCTGAATCGCAATGTCTGGGGGTCTGCTTGGTTCGGTGCGATGCTGGGAGCCGGATTTTTTGTCATGGTCTACTTCCTGCCCATCTGGTTCCAGGCTATCAAGGGGGTTTCGGCTACCAAGTCTGGGATCATGAACCTTCCCGCCATTCTCGGCCTTGTCATCGTCTCCATGGGAGCCGGTGCTTTGGTGACGGTGATTGGATACTACACACCCTTCATGTTGCTCTCTTCTGTTCTGATGAGCATCGGTGCTGGACTGCTTTCCACACTCGAAGTAGACAGCGGCTCTCCCAAGTGGATCGGTTACCAGGCCCTGTTTGGGGCTGGTGTTGGTTTTGGCATGCAACAGACGCTCATTGCCGTCCAGACTGCGCTTCCGGCCAAGGACATTCCCATTGCCGTGGCCTGTCAGATGTTCTTCCAGACACTGGGTGGAGCCCTCTTCATCTCGGTCGCCCAAAATGTCTTCACCAACCAGCTCATCAAGAACCTCGCTGCCGTTGTTCCTGACCTCGATGCAAGCATTGTGCGCATGACGGGTGCGACTGAGCTCAAAACTGTGATTGAGCAACGGTTCCTGCCTGGCGTGCTTACCGCTTATAATCTCACGCTCACACAAGTCTTTTACGTCTCCGTCGCTACGGCTACGGTGTCTATTGGTGGTGCGGCGTTTGTAGAGTGGAAGTCGATGAAGGGCAAGAACATACAAATGGCTGCTGCTTAGACTGTTTCTCTTTGTTTCCTGTCGTAGGAGCAGCGCGTTTTTTTCCATGGGTACTATTGCGTACATTTGGCATCTGCCAATCCTGGCCTCGGGGCCCTTGCTTAACCCCCCCCCCTTTTGGACGGTTTTCTTCGGCATAGCGAGCATGGCGTTTTTTTTTCCAGGTGGGGAAGAAAGGGCATGGGGAATGAGGGTTGTATTTATTTTGTAGTAGACGAGTGGTGACTCGTAGCATGGCGCATGTTGTGCATGCTGAGGTGGGTGTGTATTTATAGTAAACGAACTCTCTACTCGGGAAGGTTGTGGTATTTTTCAAAGATTCATGTCTCTCCATGCAGTGCCTTGTCAGTAGGAGTAAGGGCTTAGAGTACAGTATTCAGTTGGCAAGACCGTGAATGTAATTGTATCACCAAGCAGGGTTGTAGTAGTATACTCGCATAGGATGAGATGATGGGACATGGGAGTCGGGAGAGTGTGGAGGACCGAGGCTGTGCCGGCATGTGCCGGATGAGGGATGACAAGCATTTGGCCAGCGGATTGGCAAAAACGCTTATTTGGCCAGCCTCGATCGCCGTTCGCTCGGCCACAGGCGATTGCTGCGCCCGCCCCGGCCTTATTTACTTGGTGGGCCGCAACAGCTAACTGGAGGAGGACGAGGAGGAGGAGGAGGAGGAGGAGTCGGATGCGGTCGTCGTCACATGGGCTGTGCTGGTTGCTTGGTGACGATCCTGCTTGCGCCCTTTTCCTGCTGCACATTCCTCGCAGTTCGCAGTTCGCAGTTCGCAGTTCGCAGCTCGCAGTTCGCAGCTCGCAGTGCTATTGTCCACACGGGAAACAGATGCGCGCCGAGTAAGTCTTCTCTGTACGTTCGGTGGGTGAGACCGGCACCTCTGCGATACAAGGTTCAAGACTCGAGTGTACAACCGCGCCTTTGCGCACCGCCACCACCACCACCACCACCACCACCACCATGGTCGAGGACAAGGACGCGAGGCTGCTGCAGGGAGCACACAATGCGGCGCAGGACGGGCAGAATGGGCAGAATGGAACTGTAGCAGACAAAGGGCCGGGCAAGCAGGGCGAGTTTGAGAGAACGGGCGGGGTGCCTCGCGCACCACAGAAGACGGATACGGGCGGCAGCACCACCAGCACCACCAGCACCACCGGCAAGAAGAAAGGCCCAGAGGGAGGCTTCGACGACACGCCCGTACCGCGCGCACCACCTGGCTGGACAGTCAAGTTTACCTTTCACGGGGCCAGCAACCTGCCCCTCGCCGACATCAACACGCTGTCGGCCGACCCCTTCATCATCGCCCAGCTCAGCACCGCGCTGCCCACCCGCCACAAGGAAGACCCGCCGCTGCGAGTGCGCACGCCGACAATCCGCCAAAACACCAATCCGCAGTGGAACTGCGAGTGGATCGTGGCCAATGTTCCCTCGTCCGGCTTCCGCCTCAAGTGTCGCATCTACGACGAAGACCCCGCCGACCACGATGACCGCCTCGGCAACGTCCATGTCGACGTGCCCGCCATCACCGAGGGCTGGCCCGGCATCCAACACCAGACATACCCGATCCGCAAGCGCATGGTGAGCAAGCGCGCGTGGCTGTTGCGCGCCTTCGCCGTCTGCTTCGGCAAGGCCAAGCACATGACCGGCACGCTGACCGTCAGTGTCGACGTGCTCGGCAGGACAGCGGGCGACAATGGCGGCCGCGTCTACACGGTCGGCCCCCAGTTTTGGATCCGCCACTACTCCCCTCTCCTCGGCCGGCTGCTGGGCCAGAAAGAACCCGACTTGGAAGGCTCCTCGACGTCGCGGCGCAACGGCAAGCAGAAGCCACAAAAGTACAACTTCCAGTCCAACCAGATGCAGCTGCGCGGGCCTGTCCCCGAAGCCATGTACCATCGCTACGTCGAGTTCAAGCCATTTGTCAAGAGCATGTTCACTGCAAAGGGCGTCCGCGGCTACCTCCTCTCCAAAGCCCTGCACCACCAACACGCGCGCGTCTATAACTTTGACCACGCCACCGAATACAAGGTCGAGTCCGAGCCCTCGAAGAGATTTACCCAAAAGTTTCTTGAGCTCGTCCATTATGATCAAGGGGGGCGCATCTTCACCTACGTCCTGACCCTCGACGCCCTCTTCCGCTTCACGGAGACGGGCAAGGAATTCGGCATCGATATGCTGAGCAAGCACACCATGCACAGCGATGTAGCCGCCTACGTCGCGTATAGTGGCGAGTTCTTCATCAGGCGACGAAGACATCCTCATCGTCCTCCGCCTGAAGAAGAAGAACAAGAAGAAGGCGGCGGCGGTGCCAACAATCAATCCCACCCCCCACCCGACCACGACAACGGGCCTTCCTCCACCTCCACCTCCTCCTCCCCCAATATCAACAAAAGACGCTCCCACAACTCCTCCCGCAGCGACGACGCCAGAATTCGTGACCCAAGCTACTACGAACTCGTCATCGACAACGACAGCGGCACCTACCGCCCCAACGCCAAACTCCTCCCCCAACTTCACTCCTTCATGTCCGCCAACTTCCCCGGCCTAAGCATCCTCACCCTCGACTGCCAAGCCGACGCAGAGAAAATGGCAGCCATGAAGGACGAGCAGCGCGAGCGCAAGAAGCGCGAGGGCGACCATGTCGTCTACACGCAGATTAGCAGGACCAGCAGCCTGTCGAGCTCGGACGAGGAGGAGCTGGATCGCTTGGAACTCCAGGGTGAGATGCGCGCCCCCCATTTGCGACATCAGGTCCAGCGCGAGGCGGGCGCGCGCGTGCACGCTGTCAAGGAGCATGTCAAGGATTTTACCCCGCGGCGGAACGCAGAGGGTTGGCGGCGAGGTGGGGGCCCGGAGAAGAAAGGGCTTGGTGGTGGCAAGGGGGGTGGAGAGGATGGGGGGGAGAATCCGAGCAAGTGATGAGGCTACAAGGCGGAGACATCTCTTTTCCTCTTCTTTTTTGTGAGCGTAAATTTTTTTTGGCGCACTCGATCATATTTTGCATTCTTTACTTTGTTCTATTCTCTTTTTTTAATGTATTTGGGAGGAGAAATCCTCGCCCAAACACACACGCTACGACGCGACGGAAACCCTTTTTTTTTCATCTTTTTTCTTTTGAAGTATCTCTTTCCTTTATACCCCCTTGTCTCTTCCTCATAAAATCCCTTTTCCAAACTCCCTAGCATCCTCTCCTCGTCTTTTTATCCTCTCCTCTGACCTCTGTCCTCCCGACCTGGCCTGAGACCACGGACGCCAAAGGATCTAACACATACCCTTCCCTTCCCTTCCCTTCCCCATCCCCCTCCCTATCTCCCCCGGCCCACCCACCGCCTTCTTTCCCGCATCCAGAAGAAGCCAGCGACCACGCACTCCCTGACGCGGGATTTCTTTTTCTGTCTTTGAATCCAGACTGGTGTCGCGTGTTTCCTCGTCCTGTTTCTTGATCTTCTGCTCGTTATCCTTGTCGTTATCCCTTTTTTGGCATCCGTTCTTCATTCTTCACTTGAACTTGAGCGAAACACGTATCTTGTAGCACGTGTCGGCTTGTACGACGGACTGTCCTTTTCTTCCGGTTGTGTTTGTGTCTTTTGTTCTGAGATATTCATGGGCGGAGGGGGGAGGTGAGAGGGTAGGTAGCGTTGGATATGGGGTGGGGGCTTGGCGTGGTGTGGGTGGCTGGGACTGGCATAGTATGGCGTGGTTTGGGCATGGACTCAGTCTGAGCATTTAGACGGTACGGTGGAATAGTTTATATATTGTATAGTGAGAGTAGGAAAGTTTAAATGTATAGTTGTAGTGCTCATGATTGCTTCTTGTTGAACGGCGGTTTCTTGACTGCAACATCACATCCTTGGCCTGCCATTCAAATAACGCCCTTCCTCCCTATTACATGACTATGCTATGCTAGGAAGTATACACTTTATAAAATCGAGCATATCTCAACCCGAGATTTCCCCAGACTTACACCCCCAATTCAAACTTCCGCGCCTTCCCCTTTCTCCCCTCCTCTCTCCACCACCCTCCCTCTTACCCTCCCCACCCACCTCGCCACAGGCCCGGTCCCAAAACTCCACTTCTTTATCCTAACAGCCCACACGAAAAGATACACCAACGCCCAATTACTGCAGCAAAATGCCGCAAACACGGCCAAATTCCGCCACTTATCACGCGCCTGGATGTTCAGTGTGGCCAGGTAGTCGTCCCCCGTGGAATAAGGACAGTAACGGCACTCTTGCTGCACCGTCCCATGGCCGTCGAGCTGCAGGTAGCCCGGCGCGCGGGCCAAGAAATCCGCTGCGTAACTTGCGCATGTCTGACCGGGCGGTGCGAAAAAGACGACCGTTTCAGGAGGTTCGCAGTGGACAGGGACAAGGTGGAGGGTTGCAGCGAGGACACCGGCGATCCAGTAGGTGCTGGGAATTAGGTAGTAGATCCAGAAGCGCCAGAAGACAGGCATGGCGGCGTAGGGACGGACGACGCCGTTGAAGAGGCCGAACATGACGAAGAAGAAGGGCAGGATGTTGCTGATGACGGTGAAGCTGGGGGCGAAGGCGCAGATCCATTGGCCCCAAGAGGAGATAAAGAGGAAGAAGAGCGTCGTCATGAGGAAGACGTAGCCGCTGGTGGAGCTGTCTGTGGGCAGGCCGGTGGGATAGTACCAGAGGAGCCAGTAGAGGAGGGAACTGACAATGGCCATGGGGATCTCGGCAACCACTTGGGCGGTGGTAAAGGCGACCCAGCCGTAGATTCTAGACGGTAGTTCGCGGGCCTGCCAGAGAGACATGTTGGCGTAGAATTTTGGGACCACGCCGTTGACTATGGTGGGCGGGATGAGGATGATGAGAAAGGAGGTGAACATGCGGTTCTGCAGGTCGGCAATCGAATGGCCCAGTTTGTAAAAGGTGAAGCCGTTGAAGATGCCGATCACGACGCCGACGAAGAGTTTTCCATATAGGTACGAGGGATCGCGCCAGTATTGGGTAAAAGTTCGCTTGGTGAGCATGGTGGTTTGCGTCCATACAGAGGCCGCAAACTCCGACTCTTCTTCTGCGCCCTCCTTGTTGCTATCTGCAACCTTTTGGCTGCGATCGGCCTTGATGCGGTCAATCTCTTTCAATATTTCTTGGTTGTTGGAAGAATTTTGCCATTCTTCATTCCAGTTGATCTTGCTGCCGTCTCCGCGTTTGACGGGCTTGGCCGCGGTCTCGAGGACGAACTCGGCCACGTTCTTTTCGGGAGGACATATGACGCCACGATCGCCAAAGTATTCTATCACGTCCTTGCCGTTTTCCCCAACCGGTCCAAAATAGAACGTATTGCCGCCCGGGTTCAGCGCAAGAATCATGTCGAATTGTTGGATCAACATAGAAGAAGGTTGGTGGATAGTACAGACAATGGCTTGACCTGCAGATGCCAGCTTCTTCAAAAATTGGACAATAGAGTAAGCCGAGTTACTGTCAAGACCACTCGTTGGCTCATCGAGGAAAAGGAGGAGTGATGGCTTAGCGGCTAGTTCCACACCGATTGTTAGACGTTTCTTCTGCTCAACACCCAGACTAGACACTAGCGCGTCCTGGATGTCCTGTAGCTCAAGGAGTTTGATGATCTCGTCGACATAGTCTAGCTTCTCTTGCCTTGGTGTTTGTTTATCTTGACGAAGAATGGCAGAAAACTCTAGCGCTTCGCGGATCGTGGCCGTGCCGTCGTGAAGATCCATCTGTTCGCAGAAACCGGTACCGCGCTGGAAAGATTTGCCTAAACCTTTCCCATCAACCAAAAACTCCCCATTAACAACACCAGTAGTTTGGCGTTGCGACAGTGTATTCAATAATGTACTCTTGCCCGCACCGGACGCGCCAATAAGAGCGATCATGACACCTGGCTTCGCATAGCCATTGATTTTGTTAAGAAGCTTTCGCTCGCCACCCTGATATGGTACAGTGTATTCGACATCCTTCCAGGTAAATATGCTTTCACTGCTAGAGATGGAGTGAATGGCTTTGTTTTCATTGCCAGTGCTGTGTGAAGAAACGCCACTGACTTCTCCTGCAGCTACTTTCTCCTCGTCTGGAGTCTCTTCCTTCACAGTCCGCTTTGCATGCTTGCTCTTCTTGAACACCAGAGCACCGCCACCACTAGGCGGGAAAGTTACGGTCTCGGAAGCGATGACAGTGACAATCAGATAGAGCATCGTAAAAGCTATTACGACACTGAAATTGCGCCAAAGATTCGATCTCGAATAGTTGTAGGTCGTCAGAAGATATTCGGTCCCTGTCACTGAATTGGCGTTCGGTAGAGCTCCAGTAAGACTGCAGCCTTGATATTCACGGTCGTAGCCTGGTCCTTGCGGAACAAGTTGCTCTGTGGCACATTGCATTGTTCGATCCGAAAACTCGTTCGATAAGACAGACTCAAACGAGTAGGCTACAGGGTTTACCCAGTACAACCAACCGAACCAGATGTATTCACCCAGAAGCTGTGTCTTACTGATGACATAGCCAGTGTAGATTACTAGGAGATTAAGAGCTAGTCCAGCGAATCGAACAGCGTCGTCGATGGAAGGTGATAATGCGGCGAACATGCGGTACATGGCCGTGATGCAGAATGTCGTAATGTAAATGTAAAGAAAGTATATTAAGAACTTGCTGACATCAACGTCAAGACCTGTCATGAAGTACATGATGATTGAGAAAGGGATGACCTGAGCTAACAGCAAAGGGAAGTCTTGCACCACCCTGGCGATTACCACAGCGCCAGGCCGATAGAAAGCATAGTCTTCATGTCTTTTGACGATGTCGCGGCCGGAGACTGCCTTCATAAGTTCAGAAAGTTGAAGCCAGCCCAGGAACAAAATCGAGAAGAATCCCGAACCGCCGCGAGTGAAGGCACCTGACGTATCAGTAGCTTGACCATAGAACAAGCTGCCGACGATAAACCCATTGGAAATAATGATGAAGAACTTGGTGTATAGAGTCGTCTTGTCGCCCCATGTCAACCAGAATTCTCGCTGAGTACAGGCCATGACTTGTCGAATGAATGACACAGTGTATGGTGACTTCTTTCGTACAGTCTTGCTCTTGCTCTCGCGTACAGCACCCTCAAACTCCTTCGCATCGCTGTAATCATTGCGCTTCAGCTCTTCCTCGTACTGTGCAATATCTTTCATGTTAAGCTGAAACCTTTCTGATTGTCTGAAGGCGCGCTCGAGGTCTTCTGACGTCTTGGGCGCGCTTTCCTCAAAGCCATCACGAAACTGGCGCTCTGTAGCATCGGTGACCGCCGTAAGGAAGTCCGCTGTGGTCTGGCGCTCAGGACATTGGAAGCCTAGGTCAATGAAGTACTGCTTGGCTTCGGACGCAGGACCCTGGTAAATGCAGCGTCCCTGGTCAATGACCAGTACTTGGTCCATTATCTCGTAGATCTGTTCACCAGCCTGATACAAAGTGACAAGTGTAGTTCGGTTGCTCATGTCTGTCATGATTCGCAAAGATCGTGCATAGTCGAGAGCTGTGGATGCATCGAGACCGCGCGTGCTATTATCCCAACAGACGACTGTACTCTTCGTGGCCAAGGTCTCGGCGATGGAGACACGTTTTCTCTCTCCACCACTGACGCCCCTGACATACTCATCACCGACCTTTGTGTACTTGGTGTGAGAGATACCAAACACCTTCAAAAGTGCCTCTAAGATGACAGGTATTTCGTGCTTTTCGCTCTTCTTCGTCTTGTTCGTCAGTGCGAATTGGAGAGTCTGCCAGACATTGAGATCGGCCATGTGCGAGTCATCTTCCGGATTGTAGTTTACTTCGCCTCTGAACCGCTTCTTTTGCTTGTCCGCCGGAATACCTCCGTAGGTAACCTCTCCTTCGACTGCAGCGTAGCTTTCTCGGTTGTTGGCAATGGCCTTGAGGAAAGTGGAACAACCCGAGCCTGGCCTTCCAAGCACCAGCATCATCTTGCCGTCCTTGACCACTCCAGAGAAGTCGTTGATCAGAACGCGGGTTTGTATCTGTCGTCCGATCCTCAATGCTGGAACGAATTTTGTGACGATTCCATACAAATCTGGGCCGAATGTACCAAGGACAGCGGCCGGCAGAGTCTTGACAAAGGTAGCTGTGGATCCTACACCCTTGACAGTGAGGTTTTTATATACCACCCCGACCTTCTTTGCAGATTTGCCATCCGTCCGCTTCTCAAAATGGCCTTCGCGCATGAACTCCCCAAGCTCAAACCCGTCATCTTTCTCATCATCGACGGTGCCGATGTCCCCAGGTTCATCAGGTTCCTTGTCTCCAGACCTTTGTTCCATGCGTGAGACTGATATGCGACGACCGACGCTGTGACGAGTGCTTCTGCGGCTGATTGTTCTGGCGAGTCCGCCATTGGACCTCGTAGAATTCGCGCCTTGAGACCGTGTCTTGGATAATGCAACCAACTCTTCTCGAAGAACAAGTAGATCCTCTGCTGCTGAACGGGTGTTGAGTCTACCAGCATCGCGCTCGCCCCAAGTCCCTCCGAGCTGGAAACCGCTTTGGGGACTGCTATCATTCTCGTCACTCTGCTCGTTAGGCGTCTCTGCTTCTTCTCTTCCATTGGTGATGTAGCCGTCGTCGTGCCATGGGTTTCTACGATTATCCCGCTCCTGAGCAGAAATGGAAGTGCTACCCCACATGACGAGTCTTGATGTCTATAGAAGGCGCGTTACAAGCTGATAAGTGACACAAGAATAGAGTGCACGAAATAGTCAGAAGTGATTTGAGCAAATGTCAGGCTTGGAAAGGGAAGCAAGATGTGCGCAGAGGCATTCCGCGACTGAAAGCGTGGACGCAAATCAGTCAGAGAGCCCAGGAATAGACGCCCAAGACATGCTGTTGACAAACTGAAGATGGAGTTTTCGGAGATAGGAAGGCAGATTTCGTCATGCCGTCAGCGATGGGGGACACAGCATCACAAGCTAACAAAACGGTTGAGCGCTTCCCTCCATAACCCTATCAGGAAAGTAGTCATCTATTCCCCATGGCCATGAGCCGGCTCAAGTTCTGCTGGATTACCAATCTCGCAAAAACGCCCCATGTTTGTTTGTGCTACCTACCCCTTGCAGACGTGTGCCTGTACGGTACTCTACAACAATCGTGAATCTGACTCACACGCACACTGTGGCCGACAATCCTAACTCAATTCTGACAGTCGGGCGTCACTAATCGCAAGCCAAACTCAACCTAATGGCTGATCGGCGGAGTGGTGAGAATTCTGCGAGATGTGGAGAAGCAGTGCAGCCATGGCCCGCGAAAAGAACGTTGACGTCAACATGCCAAGACACTACAGTAGATAGTGGTGTTAGAGTGAGTGCTCCTTTGTTAGCGTTGAGCCCAAGGTTGGAGTATTTTTACATCTCGCAATGTTGAGACTCGATAAATATATATTAAATACATCATCTTCAAAGAAACAGTTTGGTCATTGCCAATGCACCTTGGATGCAGATCCTCAAATATTACCATCCAGGTTCATTCATCCACAACGACTCGTTGGAAAGTGAAGATTACCTGTCGTCCTCTTGTATAATGAATAAACCACAACAACTGTCTGTCATTTCATTATAGATATCTGGTATCTACCCAATAGTCACAGTACTGCCTTTTGTCTGCAGTGCCCACCCACGCTCCAATCCCATTTCGTGAGTTCAATCATTCATAATCATAACCAGCTCTTGTATCATGTACTCCAAAACGCCATGCTTTGTTCATCGTAATTGTACAGAATGTTGAGAATGTGGGTGCCTTGGCATTGCCCGTGGTCGGCACGGGTATATTAGGCAATGTTACCAGCTAGACCCAGAAAGAGAGCTTGCGCAGCAAGTTGCAGCGTCCAAATACCAACCTTTTTGATGCGGCGCTTGCGCATGGTCCGGTCGTCAAGGACATCCCGGGCGAATGCGTCGTACATCTGTGGGAATGGGTCAGTGGGTAGTTCGGATGTCAAAGTGTGTTGTATGGCCTACCTCGCGCGACACTTCCTCCATTAAGCCGCTGTCATATAGTGTCCAGCTTCCATCAAAGTCTCTGACCTTCTTTACCACCCTGCAATTGACGGGGATGAAGGTGCGTCTGGAGTTGATGTAGGCTACGATTGGTCGTACGAGTGCGTTGTTCACGTACGAAATGTCGCGTGTGAAAATAGGTACGGCTGCGCGAACATCGTTGAGGTTTACTCGCATATCCATGATCACGAAGCGATTGTCCTCCTCGTCCGACTTCTCCTGGTGGTCTTCTCCGTCATGATGGTCATCAAACCCATGTGCTGCATGATCAGAGAAGTGATGTTTGCGTCCATTTTGAGAAACAGTGGCTTCCACACGGTCGTACATATCGGACATGACCTTTGCGATGCTGTCATCATCATCATTGGGCAGCATGATGTCTGCCACAATATCGACATTGCCTTCATGGATCCAAGAAAAGGGGCCTTCATACCCTCGATTCAGGTGATCGATGTTGAGGCCGTCGATGCGAATTCTACTGTGCTTCTTCCATGTCTTGCCATCGTCCGTTTCACGACCACTACTAAGTTGTGTGCCAGTGTAATTGTGCGTCTGTCGAGGGTGGACGGTGAATAATGAATTATCAAAGGAGCCAGACATCATGTTGGCAGAGAGGAAGTCGTAAAATAACCATTGCTTTCGCAATTGCGGCAGGTCGCACGAAAACATGCTGACTGAGAAAGGCCGGAACCCATTTGGTTGATAGACTGTGACGAGCAGGTCTTCCATCTTGAATGACTCCAGCTCAAAGTCGCCAGGGTTGTGTTCATGTCTGTACGACCTGGGATCCACTCCCTCGATGGAGCGAACCGACGTTCGATCCACAACACCACGAATACCCTTGATTTCGACATCATTGAGGAGACCCTTGCCGTTGAACCACTTTGAAAAGGATAGTGTGACATTTACAGTGTCAATCGAGATGTCGAATTGGGTGTAATTGGTGTCTTCCTCTGGCTCTGCAGCTCCGGGAACTGAATCTTTGCTGTCTTTTCCTTGTTGGGCAATGGCTGCGGCGGCTGCCGCGATCTCAGTCTGTGAGCCTTTTGTAACCTTTCCCCGTCCTTGTCCGGGCCGCCGAGAAACAAAGACCTTTCGGAAAGAGATGACACCGTCTCCCCATTTGGGTACCACGGCAGTCTCGAAAACTACTTTGATACCAGACGACTTGGTCAAGTAGTTGCCAATCCACTTGCCGAGGGTCTCCTGCGAAAAGGCCGTGTTGATCAGGAAGATGGTCAACATGAAGAAGGTTGTTGTGCCCAGCACGATCCACAAGATGTGGGCTGCCAATATCCAGGAGACCAGAGCATAAATCTCATCTGCGTTGAATGGGCGTGTGCTCCGTATTGTCAACCACTTGAAGTGCACCTTGATTCGCGACCAGAAGCCCGACGCTGCCTCCAACAATTCTGCCTTGGTCGGACGGTATATATGTGGAAGTGTGTGGGGAATGCGGTCGAGGAGAGGCTTTGCGGGGGTATGCGAGCCATCTGGGGGCGGTCTAGATGTTTGAGCATCGGTTGCTTTGTCTGATTTGTCTTTGCTTGCTGGAGCAGCAGACTGCGGGGAGAGGGTGGCCTGTGGTGCCTGCTGTGCCTGCTGTGCCTGCTGTGCCTGCTGTGTCTGTTGCGAAGGGCTTCGCCGAGTCTTGGACGAGCCATCCGTCACCGAGCTTTTGTTGCGACGTTCGCTGCCTCGGTTCCTTTTCTTGCTGCGGGAAGAGGCACTCGAGGAAGCCTGCCTAGTCCAGGCTGAGAGGGCTGCTAGCGTCACACTTTGCTTGACATGGCTCGACCGGGGCAGCGACGCCCGCCATTGTGAAGCGGTTAAGAGGCCGACATGTGACGAACGTGGGGGGCATACAGCAGACCATGTCGAGATGGGACGAAAGGAAGGCGAGATTGTTGTTGTGGTGGTGGTTGTGAAGGTGGAAATGGCCCGTTTCTGGACTCCAGTCCTCCATAACGACCGTATCCAGACTTCTGACGCTGGTTGTGGGAGCGCCGCCGCCGCCGCCACCACCGCCTTGCCGCTGTATTTCAGGCTCTGGCTGGCGAGCGAGCGCCATGTGGATGCGCAGGCAACCAAGCCTACATTCTTGTTCATGGTAATCGCGGCCGCAACATGGTCGTCGTCCTCGTTTGTCGTTGGCAGAAGGGCTTAGAGTGCAGGCGATTCGGCAAGAAGAGAACAGGATTTTGAGGCTTTCACGTCATTATGTTTGGCATTTGGAGGGAAAATGGCTGGCAATGGATGGACCCAGTCGCCGCCCGTCCACTAGCATGCTTCGGGTCAGGCCGGATGCACCCAAAAAGCGTCTCGCCTCGCCAAAAAAAAAGAAATTGGGAGAAAGGTGACTTTATCGATAGTCTGCCTCTCTCCGCCCAGTTGACCCCTCCCCGCCCATACCACACATACATACAACGAGCCAGAGTTTGTATTCCATCACAGTTAGCTTTGCTTTCTACGTCAACCCACACATTTTCTTTTTTTTTGTGTTCTTTTTCTGCTGCTCTAGACACCTTGTGCATCTACGGAAGAACGAGCTGCGAGCAACAAGCAACAAAGACACGACGAGGAACCAATTCTATATCACGACCATCACGAACAGACGACATACAACATCATGCCTGTGCCCACAGCGCTCCTCCACCGCCGCCCCGAGGAAAGTGTGGAAAATGTCTCCATGACTATCACCGACAATGACCAGCACGAGCAGCTGGTCGACATGAACGTGGAGCCAGACAACACCCCCAACGATGATGCGCCAGAGACAGGCACCGACGACACCCCCATGGTCGACGAGTCTGACCGCCCCAAGTTTGCGCCTGCAAAGTCGATACCACTCGCCTTCCGCCGCGAGCAGCGCAAAGTACCTATCCCGCCACACCGCATGACGCCACTCAAGAGCGCATGGCCAAAAATCTACGTAAGTCCATGCAAAAAAAAAAAAAAAAAAAAATGGCAGCCTCTCTCGCACGCGCGATAACATGCTAATTCCGAGCCGCAGCCACCCCTCGTCGAACACCTCAAACTCCAAGTCCGCATGAACATCAAGACGAAATCCGTCGAACTCCGCACTTCCTCCTCGACCACCGACACGGGCGCCCTGCAAAAGGGTGAAGACTTTGTCAAGGCCTTTACTCTCGGTTTCGACGTCGACGACGCTATTGCTCTACTCCGTCTCGACGACCTTTACATTGAGACATTTGAGATCAAGGACGTCAAGACGCTCAACGGCGAGCACCTGGGTCGCGCCATCGGCCGCATAGCAGGCAAGGATGGCAAGACGAAATTCGCCATTGAGAACGCAAGTAGGACGCGAGTGGTACTAGCCGACCAGAAGATACACATTCTGGGTGGCTTCAAGAATATCCATGTTGCCCGCGAGGCTATCGTGAGCCTGATTCTTGGCCAGAACCCAAGTAAGGTCTACGGCAACCTGAGGACTGTGGCCGGACGTATGAAAGAGCGGTTTTAAGACGAGGTCAGAATCCATTTGCATTTTCATGGGCGTTCAAGGGGTATAAAGGCTTGGGGATGGGGAAGAATACCATCTGACATGTGTTTTTCAAGGAATTCAAGGTGCTGATGGGCAGACGATGGTGTCTCTGGTTATAAAGAGAATATTATGATTCATGTCTTCTTTTTGCAGTAATCAATGCTTTGAGGCGTGACTATGCTCCTGAATTGAAATACATCCAAACTTTTGCGAATGATTCCTTGCTGGGAAGCTAATCATTCCTTCTAATTAGAACGAGACGATGTATACCATGTTCCGTGTTTTTGGACGGCACAAGATCACCCTCCATGTCTATCCAATAGTTGAAAAAGGACAATTCTCATTTCCTTCAAGCACTGCTCCACCGCATCCCACCAACCAATCTCTCCATGACGCCCTCCTCAGCCCCCACTCCATCTGCCCTCCCCACCAACACTCCCCTAACCTCCCGACCCCCTTCCCCCCAAACCCTCTTACACGGCACCCACTGCACCCCCCTCAGATTCATCTTCGGCCCAACCTCGAATCCCGGCCCCGCATACAGCGTCGCACAAGTCCACTCCCTGACACTGTCCCGGCCCATCTCACGCAAAACGTCGACGTCGCTCTGGCTCCGAATCTCTAGGGTGTAGAAGCGCGAACGGGTTGGTAGCGCAGAGGAACGCGTGAGGCGGGTGTGTTGGGCTGGACGGGTGAAAGTGATGGACGGGCATGTGAGGCCGGTGGCGCTCCATTCGACATCTACACCGCGCGGGAGGGACGAGACTTGTACGACGAAGCAAGGTGGTATCGGTGATGCCTCGGGCGTGGTGGCGTTTGTGACGGCTGTTGGATCGGGTATGGGTGAGCGGTAGGTGGTGTTGTTGAATAGGGAGCCATGGTTGCGATTGAGACGGTCCCAAGGGTCGATCTCTGCCTCTTCGTCGTCGTCGTCGTCATAATCAGACTCTTTCTCTGCATGAGGCATGTGTATAGCTGCCCAGGTTTGTTGTGCAATCCACACTCGTTCCTCTGCATGCTCAGAGGTAGGTAGGAAGGCTACAGCTGCCGTCCACCACTTGACCCCTTTGACGCGGCCAATCCGCCAGAGATGCTGTAAAGAGAGTATTGCCTGGCCTTTGAAATCATGCTCATTGTACACCTCCATTGATGCTGGGATCAAGGGGATTTGTCCAGCAACATACACAATCTTGGCCTCGCTATCAGCCTTCTGGTCGCCAAGTGGCAGCCGCGCAGCTATCGCTTGACTGTATGGTCCTATATTTGCTGGTGCCCAGTAGCTTCTCCCTTGCACATGTAGGCCTTGTCTGTCAACGGATCTAATGACCTGGCCCTTGCCGTCCTTCTCATCCTTATCTACAATGACACTGAGCATGACGTCCACATTCTCCGGCATGATGTCTCCCACTGCCATCGTCACTCTGGCTGGCGGGTTTACATTGCTGAAGTATTGACCATAAGTGGGGTTAAGAACAGTGAAACTGCTCATGTTGCGAAGGAGTAGTGTACAGTGGTTGATTGCAGATCTAGAAACATGCCATTGCTTAAGAATATGGTCGAGACGAAGGAAGATCTTTGTCAGTTGGCGCGAGGGGGAGCCTGACGAGGATGTCGGGCAAGTATCGCTAGTTAGATTAGAACAGGTGAAGAGGGTGGGCGTGTCATTGATGGTGTTTCTTGGGATAGCAAGGGATGCTGTCGTGCTTTTGGCTGCTGCGGGATCAAGCCCATGGGGCCCATTGAGAAGTGTTCCCTCGTCAGAGAATAAGGACCGACTGTCGTTGTTGCGATCCGTTGTTGCCAGCACAACCTTGAATTCTTCATCTAACAGCTCTGGGATCCTCAAGGGTCCCGAGACCTCCTCTTCTGAATCCTCGGTTTTGTCTTTGAGCGTACTGGCTTTGATCGTCTGCACCGTTTGCCCACCCCCCAACAGATCCGGAGATCCAACCTCGAGCCCGAGTCTTTTTCTCCAAAGAGGCCTCGGCCCATCGAGAGCCAATGTCTCGAACTCGCCACCTTCACCCAAGATGGCGCCATTGTCTGCCTCACCGAAGCGTCCCATGGCTCTACCTAGCTTTGCGACGGTCGCTTGCGCGGCCACATCCAGTCCCAGGAACCCTTCGTCCAAACCACAAGATGCCGTCTTGATGATGATGGCTTTCTGACCAACAGTTGCCATATCCTGAAGCAACGATGACTGTGTGTATGGCGGAAGCAGCGGATACTGCCACAGGTATGATAGTGGCGCAAGGCCTAGCCTGAGAGCCACCGATTCGATACGGGTACGTTGGTAAGTACTCAGAATGGCGCCTGTGGATACAGCATTGGCTTCCGGATGTGCCTCTAGGACTCGTCTGAGTAAGGGGACCAAATCCTCTGTCTCGTCCTGGTCTTGCTTCCCCAACGGGATTGCATACTCTTTACTTGAGTTTACTGTCTTGCCCGTGATTTCTTGTCTGTAAAGTGGTATTCCAAGCGCTTGCTCATACAACGGGATGACAGAATGCCCCACCGTCTGGTACATATAGCTGTTGATGTCATCACTGCTGGTCGTTGAATGTGGTGGGTACACGTTCGCCAAGGCTACGATCTTGTGCCCATTGGCTTGACAGTGAAGGATCGAAAAAAACGAGTCTTTGCCCCCCGAGATCAACGCGATGACATGAAGAGATGATGACATGGTGGGCAAGGAATGCATTCAAGGTAAAGTTCAAGCATGCAGTAGATCAGGGGAACCTCCGGGCAGGGCCGCGTTCCGCGAGGTCAATCTACAAGGAAGAAATGAAGGTTATCAATTTGGATCTGGTACCCGCTAGGTAAGGGTCCAAATCTGCGCTAAACGGATCGCTGTTTTGGCAAGCGAACAGGAGAGGGTATCGATAAGACTTCGGTCCCGTTCCGGTGTCACATAATCACACAAAAAGCAAAGCCCAAAGGCCTTTAGAGGAATCCAGTCACTCACAATCGGACCAATTCGAGGGTTGAAAGTGTACTATTTGTATTTTATGTGTATGAAGTTGGGACAGTGCCAGCACTTGTAACCTTCAATGGGCGCAAGTAATAGATATTGCGGAGCCAAAGGAGAGGTTAAACCAATTACAGTTGTAGTTGTAAGAGAGAATAGAATATTCCCAGAACGTTGACATGCGCGATGCCGATTACAACGAGGGGTAAAGACACAATCGTGCGATGAGGTAAGAGAGGAAACGCGGCGACGATGGCCGGTAAAGTATGGGCCATGCCTTCGTAAAAGTAAAACCAGATAAAAACACCAGATCTAATCCGTCCGCCGTGTAAGGCGCCGTATCCCCCAGTCCAAAAGCCAGAACCCAATTTGCGACGCTAAGGCAAGCCGCTGATGTGATGAGAGGAAGCCCACTTTGGATGAGTGTGCAACCAAAGTGGGAATGTGAATACAATGAGGGGAAGAAAAACTGGCAAGCTTTTGCCAAGCCTTGATGAGAAAGTGCTCCGACCACCGTATATACCTGTGCCAAGAGTCTAGCAGAGTCGCCGGTGCATGACAGCATGATATTAAGACGCTGTCTGTGGCCTGATCAAAGCCTTCTACCAGATGAGATGTCATGAAGGGTCGTAACGCGAAACAACAAATGATGCAACGAGCAGGAGGGAGAAGCGTAGGCCTACTCGTTCCTCTTGCGCTTCTTGTTGATAGGCGAGGACTCCATGTCAGAGTATTCTGAGCTGGCGCTTGAGACGTTGGCGGCAGCATCATAGAGAATCTGGCCCATCATGGCGGGGTTCTGGTTGTCGAAAGCGCCATCTCGTTGCATGTCGTTCTGGATATCGGAGCTGCTCATGACATCAAGGGTGATGGCACCTGCCCCGTGCGTGCGCTGGTGCTGAGACAGGTTGTCGCTTCTGGAGAACTTCTTACCACAGTCGGTGCACTCAAAGGGCTTGTCGTGAGTGTGGAGCGAGCGGTAGTGGCGCTTGAGGTGCTCCTGGCGGCGGAAACGACGAGAGCACAGGGTGCAGACGAAAGTCTTGGACGGATCCTCGGTCAGAGACTGCTTACGGCCGCGACGGCTTGTCGGTGCTACCGGGGTGGCGGCGTTGTCGTCGGAGCTGGACGCGGTGTGGTTGTCGGCATGACCTGGTTCATGTTGGCTTGATGCTCCAGACGCAGTGTTATCATCACCCGATGTCTGTGTCTTACTGTGATAATCTGACTCGGCATCGCTGTGCCCAGAACGCGCCTTCTTCGCTGATCGCCTCTTGTTACCGGACATGTTGTCGGAGAAGTCACTCGCAGCAGGTGTCAGGGGCAGGCCGTGGACCAAGTCCTCTTCAAAGTCGGTGAAGCTGGCGTCGCTAACAAAGTCCTCTTCCGAAGGGAAAGCCACCAGATCAGTGCGTTGGCGCTTGTTGCCAAGGAAGTGGGTGTTGTCGGCCGTCGAGAAGTTGACCAGGCCGGCAAAGTCGTCTTCGCAGTCCAATTCAAACAGAGGCTCAAAAGTGGGGAGGCCAGTGGGGAGGCCCGTGAAGTCGGCTGTGCAGGATTGAGCAGGCTCGAAGACCTTGGCAGATTCACCTTTGAGTACGACTTTGTGTTCTTCGTCACCGGGGCAGAGAGTAAGAAGTGTGGATTGATCTGCAGATGCGACCGTCAAATCACGAGGGTTGCAGAAGTTGTTCTCCGCCTCAGCAAAAGACGGGCGTGGGACAGGTGAAGGTGAAGGGGAAAGCGAGGGGCAGGATGTGGCGGAGAGAAGGTAGGACCCCTGACTAGCCGAAGGTGGCTGAATGTAGACTGTGTGAAGGTCAGCCACAAATCAGGAAAGAGCGCGGCCAGCACCAAACTGGTCACCACCTACCTGGTGTCATGGGCGGGCTTGCGGATCGCCACTCCAAACCGGCAGAAAGAATCTCGGAGAGGACCTCGCCCTCGCAGCCTTGCTTCACACCCTCCATGGTCTCGCTGGGGAAGATGTCAAAGAGTGGTGTGGAGAGCACGTCGGAGGAAGAGGGCGGGCTGCTCGTGCTGCTACCAGAGGAGGACAGAGGAGGGGTAGCGGGCGCAAAGGAATAGTCCGTGTCCAAGGGGTGCAGGTAGGGCGAGTCGTGGGGCTGAATGAGAATCGCTGGCTTCTGGTACATGGGCTGCGGCGAGGCGACGGGGGTCAGCATCTGGCTGGCGTACGAGGATTGCGGGTAGGCCAGGTGGGAGTTGGCCGACGATGGCCTTGGGTAGAACATGTTTGGTGGCTGGAAGGCCGACTGTCCGGACGGGTGAGGTGTGAAGTGGCCGTGTTGACGGTTGTTCTCGCCTTGAGGGTCTGGGTTGTAGTAGAAGAAAGGTGATTGCATGGCCTGAGCAGGGTGGACTGGATAGGAGCCTTCCATTGCGAAAGGAGAATTACTTTTGAAGATGAAATCAGATACAAGTCCAAGCAGAGCAGGGCACTGGAGTGTTGTAGTTGCAGTCACTTACTGTTAGGGTGTGATGTATATCGTGTGCTGGTTTGTACAATTGCTGGCTCTGACTAGAGGGAGTTGAAGTTGGAGTTCAAGTTGATGGTATGCAGATGTTGGTTGTGGTGATTGAGTATTACGGCGTGTTTTGGATAGATGGAGAGGGCAGGTTGTAGATGCAAATTGGGATGGATGGATGGATGGATTTGACTGTGTAGGTGTGCGTGTGTGTGTGTGCTGGGAATGAATGGATTACAGTTCGTAATAACGAAAGCTGTGCAATGCGATGACGGCGAGGAAGATTTGCAAAGAGGGGACGGCCACTGCACAAGTCGTAGATGTACAAATGAACCAAGAAAGAAACCTGGAAAAGGCGAGGAGATTGGGAAGAGAGCGTCGGGGTATAAACCTTAGATACAAGGAAGGCCAGCGAGCGGGAGGCGGTAGAAAAGAGAGATGTGCACACCCACGGACGGTCGCGCGTTAGTGTGAAGCGTTGGGGCGCAGCGGTCCACAGGCTTGCCAGGATGTGTGTCTGTGCCTGTGTGTGTGTGTGTGTGTGTGTGTCGTCTGTGTGTGTGTGTGTGCCAGGATGCGGACCTGCCTAGCTGCTGGCCCCCCCCCCATGGATGCCACAAGAAATCCCAGCAAGGCCCAAGGATGGCTACGACTCAGAAGCTTAGGGCAGCAAGAGAAAGCATATACAATGCCCTAGCCGTAAGTGACTGATGACTTTAATGCACCAATGCAGCCCATCTTTGGTCGCCCCTCGTTAGCCCCCTCCCCCCCCCCCATGTATATGCAGGCCAGCCTACGCGAGATGAAGACGAGCACGGCGGTTCCGGCTCAAGGCTATGGTGGCAAGCATCATCCACATTGGTTGGTTGGTCGTTGGTGTCGATGTGTTGGACGTTGGTGGAGAGTAGTAATTATCTGTACTATAGGTAGGTAGAGTATAGAGTAGGAAGGTATCGTAGAGTAGAGTAGCAGTGGAGCATAATGCCCTATCGATTGATGACCCAGCTCGCTCGCCCATTCACATAACCCCCTGCTCTTCGTCATCTTCTTCTTTCATTGTTTTCTTTCTCTCTCTCTCTCTCTCTCTCTCTCTCTCTCTCTCACTCTCTCTCTCTCTGACACACACGCACACACATACACACACCCACTCTCTCTGCATAGCGTTCGGTCTGGCCGTCGCCATGTTCTCAGCGCGAGTCGTGGTGCGGGTGAGCCGTAGTCTCGTGTCGCGTGCAACGAGCAACACACCAATACCAACACACTCTCACGCACACACTACCACACAAGATGGATGACTAGAGTACCTACTTAAGCACGGCGTCTTTTTATCGCCATCCATTCGATATTACTTCGGTCGGGGATGTTCAGCCGATCGTCCAATCGATAACGTGCCGTGTGGGAGGGACCCTGTTCCTGAAGTTTGTTTGAAACATGGTCCGCTTGCCAGTCAGGACGCGTCTTCCTCTAGCTGTGTGTGATAAGAATGACGACGCCGCGCGCGCTCTGTTGACTCTGGTTGCACGAGACAAGCCGAATCGTCCGCGGTGGCACACGCTGAGGTCTCGCAAATGGGAACACCACAGAATAGCACCACAGAAGCTGACTACAGCATCATTCTACTTGTATCCTAGCATCCATCATCCACCCTACTCTCGACGCAACCCACACCCAGCCTGGCGCAAGCGCTAGCCGCACGCTTCCATTCCTATCGATTGCCTCGGACGGCTGCTCATGCAAGTCGGATGACAGATTGAATGTCTCATGATGGTTGACCCGACTCCACTCACACACCGTGAGCCCAATATTGCGAGATGATTGCAGGCTGCCTCATGCAGTACCAAAGTGTAAGTCCTGCGGTAGGGGAAGAAAGAAAGTAAGTAAGAAAGTAAGAAAGAAAGAAAGAAAGAAAGTAAGAAATAAAGAAAGAAAGAAAGAAAGAAAAAAAAATCCATATACCATGTACTCTTACTCTACACTCGGCCACGGCGCGTCGCGTCAAACCCATGGGGCGAGACTCGACAAGGCCGAGCTGACGCAGGAACAGGTCGATGATGCAAGATTCTGATCCCCGTTGGGTGTGATTTGCCCGGCCGGATGGTGTTGGCAGAACGGGAAGGGACCGACCTTGGTCAGTGGGGAAGCCGACGGCTATTCACCATGGTGCGACGCAGTGTACTGCACCTCGCCACCCATTCCGACCAACATGCTAGGCTGACGAGAAGGCGAGGTGACTCTTGTGCGCGATTGGCAGACTGCCAACATGGTCCATACAGCTTTCACCGCGGCTGCCCACGCGCCGTCTGCTACTTATTTTCAGTCCAGTTTCAGCTGTCTACTCTCGCTTTTTCGCAGTTGAGATTTACGATATCCTACCAAGCGTACATGGCCCAGCTTCTATCATACTATGCAGCACGATGGGTAGGTACGGTACGATAGTCCAGGTGTCTTGTCCTAAAAGAAAGCAGCTGTGATGTTGCAGAGGCGCCTACTTTACGCGCGTTGCTCATTGTTGAAGGATACACCTACCATGCTGATTTTGCAGAGTGCTGGGTAAGAAAGATGGAAATGATCATACCGAGCCAATTCCCATTCGCATATCCATGAACATGTACTTACTCGCTCGCCGCAAATTAGCTTGAGGCCGTCGGCATGGTTCACGGGCCAAACAGCAGCATGTCCATGATAGGCAGAAAAAAAGCAGTTGCCTATGGGTTTTTGTAAATACCCTGGATTGATTTCAAACCACTCAAATACAGGGTAGAGAGACTGTAATTTCTGATGATTGATGGCTGATGCCTGCGCCATTCTGGGATCGACAGGTTTGCCGACCCTGCCTGCATACCTCATCTCATGTTTTCGTCGGGTCTTCACTCTGTACGACAAAGTATTGTGCACGTCCAATACGATGTGTGAAGGAACGGTGGTAAGTATCGGTAGGCAGGTGGGAGATGGCAATGGGGTGCTGCCAAAAAAGAACCAAAAAAGAAAAAAGGGCCGTGTCGTATCTCTTCTCCCAGTATCGATAAGGCGGGATGGGATGCGTCTTGTCATGTCTCCAACAGGTAGGAGCTTAGTCTGGGAGTGGGTGTTTGCTGTATGGGTGGTATGGGTGTTGCTGTATGGGTGTAGGGTGTGTGGGAGTGGATGATGTGGGTTAACGTGCGCGTCTCTCCACGTTCGGCCCAATTCGCGGCGGTAAGAAAGTTGTGCATGGCGGCGCCTCGTAAAGTTGTCAGCATTGCCAAATGGTTATGAGCTATTTGGAGCTCTTAGTGCACCAATTATGCAGAGCGTGCCAAGGGACGTGCAGGGAGGCGTGCGCACGGGCCCAAAATGGCCTAGTGGCTTGCTGCTTTTGCGCGGCCCAATGGGACACACCCGCATCTCTGGCGAGCGCCCCGGCGTCTTTTTTCTTTCGCCTGACGGCCTTGGTCGACTCTATCAGGCCCCAATCATACATCCACCCACAGTAGCATATCCACTGTGCCGTCACTCTCCACACCCAATGATGGAGAGTCTACGGTAAAAGTGGTAAAAAAGTACTACCATGCACTACTATGCCGTGATTGGCACCCTTCTGCTGATTGTGTGATGGATGGACAGAGAGTAGACAGACAGACAGACAGACAGACAGACAGACAGACAGACAGACAGACAGACAGACAGACAGACAGACAGACAGACAGACAGACAGAGTCGACTGGTGGCGTCTCCTGCAGGTACAATGCAGGAACGGACTGTCAAGCAACATCCCCCATAATCAATCACCTTGTCAGCTTATCTTATCCTGACGACGATGACAAAAAAATCAAGCAACCACCGACCAAAATGAACTAGAATAACACAATAAAGAAACTTCTTCATCACACTCCCTCCCCATGGCGCCGACTAGATCCCTTCCCAGTATCCTCTGTCTGATGTCAGTCCTGGTGCATTGTCTGAGCCATAACGTCAGTACTTGCGGTACTACTGCTTCTCGAAAGTTCAGTGTGTACTGTGGTACTCCTAGCTCTCCGTTAGTAGGTGGGGTGAGGCTTCCTGGCCACCCAAACAGGGTCTTTGAATTGCGCCAGGTACAATCCGGTAGGGCCGTGATGGGCTGCCTATAGCGTGCCCGGCCTCATCCTGCCACACAACCGGCGCCGGGGAAGCGCATGTCTTCCACGACTAGCTCCACACACGGCTCACCCGATTCTCCACTCATTCAGCCCTTCCCTCTCTCTCTTTCGTCGCCGTGTCGAGACCTTTCAATGTGCCCTGATCTCCACACATTCGAGGGAACATTTCCAGACGGCCGGCGCTGTGGCTGGACCCGGTCGCCCATTCTTCAAGCCATCAATGCGCTACCCTCGCCTTTGACTCGTCCAATCCTCATCAGAAGGCCTGTCAGGAAAGCCGGTTCGTCCAACAAACCTTCTCCATTCGCTGTGCCTCTCGCGTTCCTGCGTTTTTTTTTCCCTCCGCTAAGGCCGCGGCCCGACGCTGCCATTCCGTGTTGGAGACAATATCGGGCCCATGTCCCCGCACCAAGACAGTTTTGCATTTGCTCTCTCTCTCCCTCTCTGGTACAAGTACGCACACTTTTTTCGACCTGGGATGTTGATCTGTTATCAAATGTCGCTGAAACACTTGCTCCATGTCTGAATCCACTGGTATCAGCGAGGCCATTACTCGGATCATTCAGCACTGTCTTCTTGAACCGTCAGACTACGGCAGTGTCCCGTGGCTAAACTGGCACTGACGACGGCTATGTCACTCGATCGGGCAGTTGGCGGATCGCTGATGCCACCTCGCTCTGGCCTGGGCACGGCTGTTATAGCCCTTTGAACAAAATTCGCGTCATGCTCGAGCAGGGTCACGCTCGTTTGCAATCTCCCGAGAGCCGCACGACTGGTCCCTGAGTCCTGACACTGTCCTTCTGGAATGTTTCCCCACATTGATGCTGGTTACCTGTGCTGGGGCAATGTTCACGTTCATGCGGTGTGATAAAGTTGACCAAGGACGACCCTTTGCCAGGTACGCCGCTGAAACGATTCCCAGGCCGACGTGCAATTGGGAAATTTCGGTAAGCACCGCCTCTGGATTGGTAACGGCAGGTGGCAGTACATGCAACTATGATCCGCAAAGGCCCGTTCTGGGGCCGGGGTATCGGTCAACGCTGCTACTGGGAGCTGGATGCTCCAGGTGGCCTGATGAGAAGCTCATGTTCTCGCACTGCCATGCCACTTGAAGGACAGTCAGATGCAACCACAGATGCGGTCTGTCTGATAAGGCTTCTCCAGGTGCCCCCCATGGGTGCGGCTCATCTTTGGATGCGACAAATCTATTACTGCCCTTGCAATTTCAACAGCAGTGATTAAGTTGTGGATTACTGTACACAATGCGATGTTTCATCGTATTCGACTTTTCACATGTCTCCAGTATCGCAGTGGCTCACGGCCAGGCACGTGGCCTGACCGCCAACCCTCCAGTGAACGCTCTCGAGCCATCGTCACATTGTTCACCTGGCGACTCCGTTGGATGGATGGCCGGCCTTTAATCGGCACATGTAGCGTAAGGGTCCGCGGATGCTACTGACGGTCCGTAGATGGCTAGGCAGTTCATCGAGTTATGCCGATCTAGGCAGATCTTGGACTTGGAAGTGCACACAGAGAAGATCGTAATCGAAGCAAGGCATAGCGTCGGTCTTGGGCGACTTGAATGTCAGAATAAGCTGCCGCGACTACAGGTCTCGTAATCCCAAGGTAAGACCGTGACATGGGTGATACAAGTTGGAGGCTCGTCAACGTCGACTGTGGATGATGAGGTCTCGGCTCGAATGTGGATACAGAGTGAGAGCGGGCAGTCAGCGTCCCAGATACCTGAATTCAGCCTATGTTGTCCACTAAAGGCTGCAGATTTGTCACAAGGCTGCAGATGCCAAAGGTGAAATGTTCCAGGCACAGCAGAGTTTCGCAATCTTGGATAGGTCGGACTCAAGCGGGCCGTTACAAGACGTTGTGCGTCGAGCGCACTCGTCAGACGAGTCTCGTCCCTGGGTCTAGAGCTCTTCAGGACCTGATGCATTCGACATGCTGATTCCGCCCACAAAAGCACTCGCTTCGTAACATACCAACATAGAGTGATGTGCCTGAACGAAGACCGACTGCAACCAGTCCCACATGTCTCTATTACCACAAACCGTCGACAAAAGCAGGCCGACAGCTGGCCATGATGAGACCAGGAAATCACGGAGATGTTTGATCGAAGCGAAGCAGCCGTGACAAGTGGTGGCAGAACATGCACTCCTGCAATTGCTGTCGTTTCAAAGCTGCGACTGCTCCAATCTGCGAGAAATGCAGGTGTCTCATCCAAGGGTCGCTTGCGCATACGGCGCCACGTGGACAGGCCTCAGAGTCCTTGTTATGAGTGAGATCAGTTACAGCAATAGCTGCATCATTCTCTTCCTATCATATGTAATTGAAGATATCATCAGCGGCCATGGAAGAAAAGAAAGACGAGCCCGAGTTGCTAACAACCAGCTTTTGATGTTGCGAAAAATTATCACCGGAGTCCGGAGAATCTGCAGCACCGGCGCTAGTGTGTCGACCTGAATAAAAACCTGTCGACTCTGTGTACTGCTTCTGCTCCTTTGTGCGGCAGAGGTTGGTAGTCCGTTTCCCCGGTTGCTTGACGATTCTACTATTCATGGTTGTCACAAGTGTCACCGACCTCCCAGAGAAAACATATTGCATCACCGATCATATACACTTTGCGGGTGCGTCTGCTCTTAGTGGCGCACTCGCTGGAAAAAGGTCGGACATACGATTTGCGTGACTTCGACTTTCATTCTTGTGATGAACTTTTGCTACCATATGTCTGTACAGCGTTTCCTCTGGGGAAGCAGATTAGACTGGGCAAAACCTTCTCAGATTGTATGCCCATTTTCGGATTCAAGCATCACAGAGATTCCATAATGACGCGTATACGGAGGCCCTAAGTCTATGCTAAAGAGCCATGCTATATTAATCGTTCCCCTCTTTCGACTAGATACAATTACGTCTTCTTGAAAAACCCTTTGCCCAACAAATTCTTGAGCTTATTCTCCTTCTCTTCCGAACTCATGGCCGCTTTCCTCTTTCCCTCGGTAACAGTCTGCCCCTTCGCCTCATCCGCAGGCTCTGATGCCACGGCTTCTTCCACCTTCAGCGTCTGCGCCTTAGCCTGCCACTCATCAGACAATGTCTTCCGTGAAGCGCGTGCCTCTGCACTCGCGTTTTCAGCCCATTGAAAGGTGATCAGTTCATTGTTGAAAAAGTGCAGGTCTTGAATCAAGCGTTTATGATCCTGTGGAACAAGAACTAGGCGGCCAGTCGGACTAGTGTAGTTGAGTTTGAACGGCTCTTCCTTCTTTTCGAGGAAGCTCTTCACAAAATCGTAGAGAACAGCTGCCGTATCCTCTTTTGTGAAGCTCATCTGGATCAATGTACCATCTGGCATGCGGATTCGAAGCGCGCCTCCCTTTTCTGCTGCTGCATTGATCTTTTCTTGACGAGCCTTTTCTCGTTGTTCAAGTTCCTTATCAGACAGTAGACGGGTGTTTCGTTGCTTAGTGGCCAGTGCTGCCTGATGTGATTTCGCGTGTTCAATAGTGGGCAGGTAGTCATTTTCGTCAAAGTCGTTCTGAGTAGCTTGAGGCACTGATGATGTTGATGCGGAGAATATCTGGATATTGCGAGGCCGTGATGGAGAATGGGGTGGAGATTGGGATGAAGTGACTGGTGCTTCAGATGGCCCAGCTGATGCTGTAGAGGTTGCTGCTGCCAATGCTGCAGCTGGAGATACATTTTCAATGTTGTTTGTTGCGGGATTTTCTGTAGATACCTGAGGTTCTGTTATCGGCTCTGCAGCTGGCTTCTCGTCCACCTGCATCGGCTCTGGGCCTGGCTTATCGTATCGAACAGGCTCACTTGCACTAGTGTCTGTAGCTTCCGAGTCTGTTTTAATGGGATCCGGCACCGACAATTGTTGTGAAGTTGTCGCCGCATGCGCGCCCTGTGCTCCCATTGCAGCCGGTTCCACGGTCTTGAAGTATTGTGTTATCTGTGTCATGGCCTCCTCCAGGGGTATGCCACTGTTTCTGAACGTCAACTTCAGCAAGGCCGACCCACTCTCAAATCCCAACTGGCTGAGCGTTTTCTGTAGTTCTACAAAATTCGACTGCTCCTTGTGGCTAGGCATGACCGTGATGACAGGCATCTCGTAATTCAGCCTACCTGCACCTGATTCTCCGCCGTTCATCTCCGGTATTCCGCGCTGCGTGAAGTTGTAGTTCGCCCCGTCGCCGCTCTCGAAATATCGAAGAATCTCCCATAAAGAAGTATTGCTTGCAAACTTCTGTGTGAGGCGAGATTTCGGCAGCTGAAGCGCTACCGATATGACGGTAGGTGACCGTGAGGCTTGTACGAGTTCCAACCGAGCGCCTTGAGGAAGATTTGCGAGTCGTACTTGCTGGGACAGAGGCAGAGGCTTATTGTTATATCTGAAGTGCACAATTAGTATTTGGATCCAGCTCTGCAACAGTAATTACATACTTGAGGGTATACTGGTCCTTGTTCAACCCAAACTTCTGGCAGGCCTCATCCCGCACTTCCGTCAGGTACTTGACAGGTGTGGTTGGGATCTTGACTGTTCTCGCGTACGAGTTGAAAACCACAACATGTGACATCATGTCCAAAACACCCGATATAAGCCGTGGACGAGGAGGAAGAAGGCCGGAACGTTTGCGAGCAAGACCACCCGCGTATACCAACGGTCCCACCGATATGCCCTTCGAGTAGCGTCGCTACGTTCAACCAGAAGGATCAGACTGGCGATATGAAGGAGCCTTGCCTCGGAGAAGCTGAGGAAAAGATTGTTTGGGCCTGCCATAAAGGTCGATTAGGAACTGAACTTGTATAGAGTCGCAAACGGAGCACACCAAAAAGGGCGCTTACCGCTTGCGATATCGAGTTGCGAGAACACCGAGCCTGCGGATGCTATGTAGCCACCTGTGCAGTGGATATGTGGCTGGCGTTGGGAATGACAAGGTGCGTGCTGGTGGTGATGTCGATGTTGGGAACTGTTCGGCAGGCAACGTGGCTCCAAGATCTTCCGCTAATAGCCAGTGTTGCTGGCCAGGTATACACACAAGTCGTTTTCTCTCTTCTTCTTCTCCTTCTTCTTCTCTCGCAATCCGGTATAGAGTGGTGTTCTGGAAGCTTCGTTTGTTGCCGGGTGTAGCAGTTTGCTTGTCAAAACATGGATGATCGGTGATGGCAGCGCCAGACCCCCGCCCCCACCAAGATCTCTCTTTCGGGGTCCTCGAGTGCATCAGGCCCAACTCCACAACAACACGCGCTTTCTACCCCTAACAATATGTCTGGTACACTTGAGATCTCATCGCCAGGTCAGCTGAGCACGCTGCTATCCTCTTCACGCATTGTTGTGGTCAATTGTAAGCAAATGACAACCCCCGATACAGCAAACAAACTGTCAATACTAATGATTGCGTGTTACTCAGTCTACAATGAGAACAACACCTCAAGCACCGCCATTGCCCCAGTATATGAAAAACTAGCCGGTCAACTATCAAGGGCAAACAGAGTCACCTTTGCGAAAGTTAGCACAGTGAAGCAGGCACAGATTGCTCAAAGCTACAACATCACAAAGTACCGCTCCCCCAATATGTTGCTAAGATTAAATCTGACAGTTATTACCTAGCACACCAACCTTCATCGTCTTCAAGAACAAGCAGCAAGTAAGCAAATACGGCGGCTCCAACCCCCAACAACTTTCAGAAGCCATAAAGAAGCTTGCGGCCGAAGCAGAAACCGATGGTGGCGGCTCTGGAGGTTTCGGCGAGGCAAGCTCAAGCGGCAGTGCAGGGTGGCGAGGCGCCACACTCCCACGTGGATACAGCGATGTTACAGATTCAGTAGATGTTCGAGGCCTGGATCTTCTGAACGCAGATAGTGACTTTGGTGGCGTTCGGACGCTCTTCGAGACATCTCCGCCTTCAGCATTAAACAAAGGCAAGGCGGCAGCATCAGGTTCAGAGGGAAGCAAGGATTGGATTGAGAGCGATGTGGACAATCAGCTCATGCTCTATATACCATTCACCGCAAACCTGAAGGTCCATACAATTCACATCACGTCTTGCGTATCAGACGACGACGACGACGACGAAGCGCCCTGTCGGCCCAAGACGATTCACATCTGGACCAATCGCCAGCACAACCTTGGATTCGAGGAGGCCGAGGATGTTCCAGCGACACAGACCATCGAGCTTAAGAATTCGGATTGGGACACGGAGACTGCAACAGCCAAGTTGGAACTGCGGTTCGTCAAGTTCCAGAACGTCTATTCATTGGTCCTCTTTGTCGCCGATGCCGATGGCGATAGTGAGAAGACACGTATAGATAGGATACGCTTGATTGGTGAGACTGGAGAGAAGCGTGAGATTGGGAAACTGGAGAAGATCGGCCAGGATGATTGAGGGTAGGGCTGGAATTTTGCGGTTCTGCACAAGTTACTGCTTAGCAACCTATCAATGCGCCTACATAGCATACATTCCAAGGTTGCTACTGAACAAGTAGTTTCGATCACAGGGCACAATCAACTTGAGTTGCATTTCGTTCATTGTGACTATTTCAAGCAAAGACACTGCCGTCCAACGTATGTCCGCACCTCCACTTCTAGCCATGTTCATATCCATGAAGAGCATAGCAGAAGCAGTCTCGTCACCAAGCAAGGCACGTTTTAATTTAAGCACTTCTCGGCCCAAAGTAAGCCATGGGTAGTGGACAAACTTGGAATTTGACATCCGTGCTGGTGCTGTAAGATCTTCACTGAATTAGCTTATGCTTCACCATTCCAGACTGCAAGTGCAGGAGCACGTTGGCGTGAACCGATCGTCACATTCATTATTTTGAGTGACACTGCTAGGTACGTGAACCTTTCAAATGCTCATTGCCATACTCCGATGAGTGCCATCCTTTTAGGGGGTATGTTGTGTGACGGTTCGAGTTTGTGTCGAGCCGTCATGTGAAAAGAGTCAACGCCCAGGAAGAATCGGAAAATTTGGTCGTCGCCATGTTGCTTCATCCACCTATCATGCAACCATCTAGTGACCTGCGCGCCTCGATTCGGCGATGACAGTGGTCATCTCCTCAACCTTTCTCTTTGCACGGCCAAAGGTACCGAGCTGGCAATTGTCAGTGTATGATCAGAAAATCGTGACTGTACTCCGAGACAAGCAAGAGATTGCGGTATATGGGTGAGCAAGACATACCCTCTTCTTCGCCAGACGACGGGCACGCTTGTCCTTGGAGTTTCGGAGCAGTTCAATGACACGCTTCTCGTAGGGAGCCAGACTGTGGGGAAAGTGTCAGTTCAGATCTGGTATTGAGTGAGAGAGGCTTGGTGGAAGCTCTCTAGAGAAAGTTTTCCAAACGTACCCGGCAACCTCGCGAGCAATTTCGCGGACGAAAGCAGTGCGCTTCGACAGGAAACCCTTCCTCCGGGAGATCCTGGGGGCAGGAGTTCTTGGGGTGACCTCTGTTGACCGAATTAGCGTCCATCTTCATTTTTTCCTCTGCGCGGCGAGTCGCGAGCACCATGGCTGCGAACGATAGGGACGTACTGTGGCCGGCGTTCAAGCCGACGATGAGGCCAGACTTCTGTTTGACTTCCTTCGGCATCGTGACGGTGGTGATGTTGTCGATGGTCGATGGATTTCGAAGTGCGATGTAATTTGTGGCTCGGCTGTGGGCGTTGGTGCGGCTGCCAAGAGGCTAGGAGTAAGCAGGCACGTGCGCGCCTGGAAAATCTATCAAAACAACAACACCAGAACAGCCTGATTGAAGTTAAGTTGAACGCGGGAAACGGAATGGCAAACGTCAATCCAGTATCTTCAAAAATCTCCCCGTATGATGTTCATGGGTTTCGGACTGTTTGCTCGATTGGAAATCACATAGTCGTCGGGCATATCTGCTTCATTACACATCCTCACTGAATTATGACAATGCACTGCAGCCAGAGAACAGAACTAACCCTGAAGTGTAGTCTATTGTAGTCTATATCTTGGTGTCTGGCTTTCTCCTCGCAGCTGTGTTCCTTGATGCGTCCATGATGAGGGTAACATGGTGACTGAGCGCTATTAAATCTCCTTGAGCATCGTGCACGTGCACCTCAAGATCCATTCTTCCGTTCTGTATCTTCTTCGCCTCTACTCTGATCTGCAACCACTTCACTCCTCCAGGCGGTAGCGACTTCTTGACGTCCAGATTCAATAGCAGTGTGGGACTCCAGAACGGGCCTTTGTCCTTCTGCCTGAAATTTTCGGCTAATTGCGGGAACATGTCTGCGACAAATCCAATCGAAGCATTGGTGAAGTTGCTGCCATCTGACCAGCACAGCCACTCGTCTGCTATAGCCAATGTGGGCTGCCCTTGTCGAGGGAAGTGGAAATTGACTTTGGTCGATGCCTTTCTGAACTTTGCAAAAGGCATATCAGGCTGACGCTCCCAGAGTGGATCTGAGTCTTGCGCCAGCTTTGCAAGATCAACAGGCGGAACAGGTGGCGACATCTGATATTGCGAGTCAAAAGTGAGGCCGACCTCGTTGTCCATATTTGAATTTGTTGCATATGCGATCACTTCTAGTCGATCATCCTGTTCCATACTGACATGCACAGTGGATGTTTGTCGACCTATCTTGACATCATCTATCTTGAAGGTAGCTGGACCAACCTGCGTCCTACGCAGGAACTCAACGTGCAAGGCTATGGTATGTGGCTGGTTCTGTTTCGCCAAAGCAGTGTCGAAATGCGCCTTGACGGCTTCTAGTATACATCCTGTGACGTAGCCACCATTAGGTACTTATAAGCAGTCAGTACATTCCTCTGGTCAAAGCTCTCGCGAGCATCAGTAACCTACCACTTCCTATGCACCAATCATCAGAGAGGATGCAGGAGTATGCATTGAACGAAATCTTCTCCACTGCGGTTGCTTCGGCCCAACACGACATGCTGCACACTTGAATCTGGGATGTTGATTGCAAAACAGCATCACAGAAGTAACGAATGTCGAGAGATCAGAAGAAAAGATCGATCGGTGCTATGATGAGAAAGGAAAGAACCTCGGTGACAGCGAAAGTGTGGGGTTTCCAGCCAACCACACTTTGCACTGTCCCCGCTGCTAGCCGGCATGATAGCTAGCCTCGGAACAGACCAGGGTAGCTTGTAAGCGTAGGCTTTACTCTACCTCCAGACTCGCCTGTCTCCCTTCGGTCTTGCAGCTACACCTTCCTAACTGATGAGAAGCACGGAGCCGTTAGTACAATATCGATTTCACAAGCTCAGTCCTTCATCATGCCTTCCGACTCAAAGTTTCCTAGTTTGCCCATACCAGATGTAGATCTCGTAAGTATGCAACAGTAACCTACCGCGAAACATCATTAATGCTGGGTCCAGTGGACCTTTCTATTCGAAAGAAAGGATAAACCATTCGCAGATGACAAAGGTAAATCGGCTTCTAAACAAGGCATCGTCGATCACGAGCTTACGGCGCATTTCAGTCATCTACTTGGACCCATACACGAATCGATCTTATACTTACAGTCAAGTGAAAGATGCCGCTATCAACTTTGGAAGAGGACTTAAAGATCTATGGGAATGGCAAAAGGGCGATGTCCTCGCACTCTACACGCCAAATTGCATTGATACCCCCGCCATAACATGGGGATGTCATTGGGCCGGAGGCGTCTTGTCTCCTGCAAATCCAAACTATACAGTCGAAGAGCTCGCATTTCAACTCAAAGATTCTGGTGCCCGGGCTATTGTTACTCAGTTGCCATTTATCAAGAATGCTCAAGAGGCCGCAAAGAAGGTCGGTATCCCGGTCGAGAAGGTCATCGTCATGGGGGATCAGAAAGACCCCACCTACAGAGTCAAACACTTCACAAGCCTCATCAGCGCAGCCGGAGTCTTAGGGCATAGAAGAACAAAGGCTTCTAACCCGGCAGAGGATCTGGCATTTTTGGTATATTCTAGCGGGACTACGGGCCATCCCAAGGGTGTCATGCTCACGCATCGAAACATCGTTGCGAACACAATGATGATTAAGGCTGGAGAAGCGGGCCATTTGAAACCCACAGGTGGTCCGAATGGAGAAGGCGACAAACTCCTCGCTTTCTTGCCGTTTTTTCACATCTATGGTATGTCTAAACACGCCCATCTCAATCAATGTAAACCCCAGAGCGAGATTTTCGTCGTCTATTACCTGAAAAGATCCCGAACCCTTATACCAGGCTGACATTATTAGGTCTCACTTGTTTGATCCATCAAAGCATGTTCTCTGGTCTCCAGCTTGTAGTGATGCCGAAATTTGATCTCGAAGACTTTTGTCGATTCGTCCAGGAGCTCAAAATCACGTTCGCCTATGTTGTACCACCGATTGTGCTACTACTGAGCAAGCATCCCTCCGTGGAGAAATATGATCTTAGCTCAATCCGGATGATGAATTCAGGAGCTGCCCCTCTCACCCATGAGCTAGTCGAAGCAGTGTACAAGAGGCTAAAGATCCCCGTGAAACAAGGATATGGGCTTTCAGAGACCAGTCCTACCACGCACACTCAGCCGTGGGAGGACTGGAATAAGACTATTGGATCCGTCGGTCTTCTTCTGCCATATCAAACGGCAAAGTACATGTCCGCAGATGAGAAGGAGATGCCAGTAGGCGAAGTTGGTGAGCTCTGGATCAAAGGTCCCAATGTCTTCAAGGGCTATCTCAACAACCCAGAAGGTACAGCTCATGCTCTCACGGCTGATGGCTACTTCAAGACGGGTGATGTTGGCTACCAAGACAAGAATGGCAATTTCTATATCACAGACCGCGTGAAGGAACTTATCAAATATAAGGGGTTCCAAGTACCACCTGCGGAACTTGAAGGCATACTTGTCTCGCATCCGAGCGTCGAGGATGTGGGTGTGATTGGCGTGTACAGCAAGGATCACGCTAGTGAACTCCCGCGGGCGTACATTGTGCCAAAGGATGGGCTAGGCAAAACAGAGAAGGAAGCGCAAGAGATTATCTCATGGCTAGACAAGAAGGTTGCCAACCACAAGAAACTTCGAGGTGGGGTGAGATTTGTGGATGAGATCCCAAAGAGCGTGTCGGGTAAAATCCTAAGGAGGGTACTTAAGGTGAAGGCACAGGAGGAAGAGGACGGCATTGCTAAAGCGAAGCTATAAAGTTTGTTCACTGTAACTCAACTTCTCAAACCAACCTTTTCCACCTCTTCTTGCTTCAGTGTCATATTTCACCTAGACCAACCTATTCCTTTGCCTATGTTTATCTATATATCATACATGCCTCGATCCTCGCGACCCAAAATTCACTAGGCATTTACAATAATCTTTTTGATTTCTTCTGGTTAGCACACTCATACATGCGACGCAATTAACATACACCAACATACAGAAGACACTATGCCTCCAGGGAGAGAGTGACAGACCAAGAGGTGCTTAATCCGGCACGAGAGGACAAATCTCACGCAGCAGCCAACGCCAGAGCAAATCGAACACCCGTAAGCAGCCATTACTATATCTGACGAACCTGATAGTGTCTCTTTGATATCTGTTAGATCACCTGCCAAGCTGAATATATCTCGAAAAGCTCCGGAAAGACTGATCACTAAGCAGTGATTACCGACGGCCGAATGAGTCCATCTTCGCGCGTGAGCTGCTTATATAGAGACTAATACCATCCCTGATATGCGATAGCCTCGCTGAAATCTTGAAGCTCAAGGCACAACAGGCTTCTGTAATACATTCAAAACCGTATCGTCCATGAAAAGTTCAGCAGACGTTAGCTTTGCATATAAAGAGTTACTCGTGTTGGCCCTTGCCAAATTTATAGAGAATCCGAATATAGGTAAACAAGTTAGTCGAACTCGAAGCATATAAGCACAGGGCCCTAATATCAACCCAGGTGTTTGTACATTGGCACTGGGTCAGGCATGGCTGCTTGTCTCTGTTAAGTACGAGTTTTGCATAATCGACGTTGATAGAGGCTGTAATATACATTAAGCGCGCTAAATCTGTGGTTAAGTCTGAATCTCGTTTGAATTGAGTCTACCGCTAACTGGGCATACTGTTATTTTGAAATTGCATTTGATAGAGTTTGGGCTGACGAAAAGTGGGATGGGCTGGTTGAGGTTAGGCAAACATGCGAATAGCGGTTCCTAGCTATGGCCATCCTTCTGGGTAACCTTGGTGTAGGCCTAAGTATTTATAAGATTGCCACTATGCTCAAAATTTGGCTCTAGTGCCACTATGAGTGAGTCGTGAATGTGTCCTGTCAAGCTTCGAGGTCGCAAAGTCCGAATTGCCAGCCTTGACTCATACGAAGGCCCAAGTCCGCTGTAAGCACTTGCCTTTAACTCAGTTTCATAATCAGGTATCACATAAGAAATCAATAAAAAGCCATTGTCGTCTGAACACCACTCGAGATAAATGCAGTGACACAGCGCGGTTGGTCCTAGCTTATCTGATCAGACGCTCCGCTAAATGCACGCCTGCGGCGCTAGCAAATATCTGCAAACTTCTAGGCTAATCATATAGTTAGCGCTAGATATAAACTTCTAGGCTAATCACAGGCTACTTATATAAAGGGTTAGTGTAGCTTTAGTAGAGTATCTAAGGGAAACTAGGAATTTTTTTAGTATAATATAACTTTAAAATATAATATAGCTATTTTTAGGATAATACTATACCTATTAACTATTAAGTAAAAATCCTTAGAGGTAGAATAGATTATACTAATAGATTTTAATTTTATATTATAACTATAAGTATAGTAATAGAACTATAATATAATAATAAACTATATTATTACGTAAGCCTATTATAAACTATTTTACGTATATAGAGTTAGCTACTATAGGCCCTAACCTCTAACCTCCTCCCTCTCTAACCTCCTCTCTCCCTAACCTCCTCCCTCCCTAACCTCCTCCTTCCCTAACCTCCTTCTTTTTCCCTACTATAGTATATTATATATTTTTTTCTAAACTTCTATAAACTTCTATAAACTTCTATAACCTCCTAGGCTAACTAACTAGCCTACCTACTAGTAAGCCTTACCTCCTCTAAACTTCTATAAACTTCTGCAACCTCCTAGGCTAACTAACTAGCCTACCTACTAGCAAGCCTTGCCTTCTCTAAACTTCTACAAACTTCTATAACCTCCTAGGCTAACTAACTAGCCTACCTACTAGTAAGCCTTACCTCCTCTAAACTTCTATAAACTTCTATAACCTCTTAGGCTAGTTAGCTAACCTATAGTTAGCAAGCCCTACTTTATAGTATACCTATATTATTAAAAAGGTAAAAAGATAGTTATAAGGTTAGGGTATATATTTACTAAGCTTAAATATAGAATAAAGGGAATACTAATTAGCTATATATAACTATAAGTAGAGGAGGGCTATATAAGCTAATTACATGTATACTATAAATAGATATTTAAGATATACCTATAGTTATTAATATAGTAAGACTAGCGTTATTCTATACGTACTAGTATAGTATTATCTAGGCTTGCCTTTAGTATATCCTATCTCTATACACTAAGTAGGTTATTATACCTTAGGAGGGTTAGGTTTAAACCTTATAGTAGTTAATATATAGCTAGGGAGTAGATATCCTACTTATTACTTATACTAGTTATAAGAAAAGTATAATATTCTATATATACTTAGTATTAATAAAGAAGATAACCTTATAGATAATACTATTAAGTAAGCTTAGTAATAAGTAGTTTAAGGCTATATAAATATTACCTAGATTATAGCTATATCTTCTTAATTATTAAACACTATAGTATACTTATATCCTTATAGAGATAGCTAGGGGCAGCTACACCTATATACTCTTAGGCCCTAAGCAGGCAGCAAGCTAGAAATTCTAGGTTATTATAAGGACGCCTTCTTTCTAGGCTAAAGTTAGGTTAGTTACTATTAATAAGTGCTACCTTATATTATAATAGGAACTATTCTAACCTATATTTATATAGCTAGTAGAACTCTATATAATACTTTATAAGGATATTATATAGTTTAGTTACTCTAGCATGCTAAATATCTAGGTAACTAGGAAGGTCCTACTCTATATAGGGTTCTACCTAGTAGGAATAGGGATATATTATATATTAGTTCTATAAATATTAATTAACTAGCTAGATATTAAGCTTATAATATATCCTATCCTAAGTAGTTAACTAAGGAACCTAGATAAGCTCTTCTATCTTCTAGATAGCGCAACTATAGATAGGCAAGCCTTACCCTCTAATATTCTAAAGATAATTGTGTTTATTAACAGTCGCGGTATAATTAAAGAGGTAGTAACCTAGGTATAAAAGATATTAGTATCCCTTACTATAGGTTATACTACTAAATAGTAGTATACTACTAGTAAGGTTAGTACTAGCAAGAGATATATATTTAATATTATTAAAATATATAAAGCTATAAACTTAGATTATAATAAAGATATAATATATAAGGCTTTCTATAAGGCTAATTTAACTATCTATATAATCTTTGCAACTATAGCCCTAGGTATAGGTATTAATATTATAGATATTATCTAAGTTATTATATATAACATACCTATTATATAGAGTATTACTAATATATAGCAGCGTATTAGTTAAGGGGGGCAAGGTTATAGCTATATTAGCGTTGCGTATATTATATTGCTATATTAGTTATTTAGTATTAGGTTAACTTAACTACCTAAAGAGAAGTTAGATATAGCTAGGCTAAGTAATAGTTGTAAGAAAAACTAGATTTAGCCCTCTCTTTTCTATAGCTATAGCTAGCTATCGCAGGTTGCAACTCTAGGTAATTAGGACGATGCCCTTAACCTATTACAGCTTGCTAAAGGGATAGACTAGCGTAGGGAAGAAGCTATTAATAGTAGGGGCTAACTAGTGTATTAGACTAATACTAAACTTAATCTATATAATAAGGTACTACTAGAATTAATCTAGTTAGCGAATAACCCTTATTACTATTATAGTTTCTTAGAGACACTTAGTAAATACCTAATACTAGCTACTAAACAACCTTCTATTACACTAGAGTATTATTATTTAGGTTATAATATAGCTCTTAAATTAGTCCCTATTCTACTACTAGTATAACTAGAGTAACCTATAAAACTAAGAATTAGAAAGATAAGTTAATTTGTGTATAAGGAGCTAGGGAGGTTTATATAGGAGCACGTAACTAAGTTATATATATAACCTAATATAGTATTTCCTATACTAGTAGGTATATATATGCTAGAGTTAGCTTATATTAAAGTAAGCAATACCTATAATAAGTTTATAGGGGATATTAGTAGTAATCCTACTAAACTATTTAAACTTTTTACTACTAAGTTCTATATTAAGGCTCTAAGCGTATATAGCTATTAGTTTACCTCTACTATAAAAGGTATTATTAACTTTATATATAGCCTTAATAATATATTAGTATCTACTTATATATCTTATTAATCTTAGTGTAAGGTAGCTATATAGAAGTAGAGGGAGGCACTAAGTAGTAGAATATTATTACCTTATCCTCTATCTAACGTTATAAACGCTAGTAGTTAAGAGGTAGATAATATCCTTATACTATAGGCTATAGAGGGCATAGATATTACAGAGACTATTATTACACTAATATTAGTATATTTAATAGTAACTAGTAGAAGTAGCTATATATACCTTCTACGTAACGCCCCTATATTACTATATAGACCTTATATACTATAGACCACGCTATTACCTTAGGTTAGTTAGTTGCCCTAAACTCTAACTATAGATTAGGGTAGTATAGATAGACTAAGTTAAACCTAGTTAGCTTATTAGACGCCTGTAGGTGCAAGCTATAGTAGGGTAATAACTACACTATAGCATTTACAGAGTAGGCAGGAAATATAGCTAATACTAAAGGGTTAGAGAGTATAGGTATTATAAGGCTAGACTATTTATAGTTATAGTAAAGTAATAATAGTTCTCTATTTAGTTAGCTTAAAGGTTTATAGAAGTATAAAGGAGTTTATAGAAGTATTTAGAAGTTTAGTAGTATAAGCTAATTAGCTAAGAAGTGTTTAGAAGTTTAGTAGTATAAGCTAATTAGCTAAGAAGTGTTTAGAAGTTTAGTAGTATAAGCTAATTAGGTAGGTAGGGAGTTAATATAATA